CGCTCTAATTACATTAGTTAATAACCCAGTGCAATAACTGCTAGATTGATCTATAAGTAAATTACGTGGTAGCATGCCCATGGCACACGCCAAGACCCCCCTTAACTTGTTCAACCGATCTCCTTTAATTTTTTCCATCCAGACGTATTTGTATCTATACTATTTCTATCTTTCTGTGTGTGTAATTTTGCCAAGACTGTGGAAATATAGATGCGCTCGGGATGTTCCAAATTAGCAATACCGATCCAACCGAACTCCGTAGCATAGCTATGTTCAATATGTTGCTTCAAAGTTTATGAAGCGGTAGGAGAACGGTCATGTGTGGTGTTTCATAATACCTACCCAATTCGAATACACGAAAGTGACACTTCATATCATTCCTGAATACTTAGACCGTGGAGGGGGGTCTTTGTGCCTGTCTCGACGCTAGGGCCCACCTTTTTCGTCACGTCTGCGCATGTGCACACGTGGTAGGTCACAAGTCACCCAAAGTCGTTACGGTCCTTACAATATTCAAACGATATTGCTTAAACTCTCTTTATGCAGATAAAATGCTAAGAAATAGCACTGTTGTCCAAATCGATATTTTTTCTTCCGACAGGCATTCCTCCGCTTTCAGATGCGTTGCCCGAGGTGACTTTTCTATGCACCCGGCAGACATATTGGATCGGGCGGGGGAGCAGCGCGGTTGATTAGCATATGCATGATCGTACTGGAACCAGTCTCTCTATTCAGATTCGTGTGGCTTTCTTTGCCTATGTATTTGAATATTGTCTGGTAGGCCGAGAAAGGGAGGTTAAAGGACAGCTGTTTACTAGTGTTTGCCTTTGCAAAGGCCTATCTGAGCGTTTAGAAACATATTAACCATGGGAGGTCCCTCCACATATATGCAACAGCTCATTTTGAACATAAAAAAGTCAAGCTTTTGAGACTCACGTTAAAACATTTAGATCTGTATGAAGAGGCATAGTCAAGATATTTAGTTGGGGTTGGATTGAGATGGTTTCTTTCGGGAGAAATATGGTGTCGCGCGACCGATGTGTTGTCAAAATAAACATTATATCTACGACCATTTGTTCTGCTGTACATAATGCAGTGCGTGTATGAAATCCACTCGATGCTGTTGGTCTTAGAGAAGCGCAATATCTGCATGGCTCGATGTTTGGTGTCGTGGACAATACACACCGTGAATACAACCTGTATCCAACAGGGACGTTATGGCAGACTTTTTAAAGTTTAGATTTATTATGTGGGAGGAAGTCATGCAGGGCCCATTTGCACAAAGCGACCTTAGCGATACGACTTTTTAAGTCTATATTAGAGTATGGGAGTTACGATCGCTAAGATCGCTTTGAGCAAGTGGGACCAGGGCCCCGTTCCACAAAACGATCTTCGCGCTAAGATGATCGTAACTCCCATACTTTAACATAGGCTTACGACAATCATAGCACTAAGATTGCTTTGTGGAACAGGCCCCTGGTCTTTAACACCAACCACACTGGTGTAACCCACGGGCGCAGTAACAGTGCTGACGAACCTAGAAACTACGATCATGTTTCCAGCACGCCACATGGACCCATACCGGCACAGACCATTTGACATGTAGGTGTGTGTATTGGGCATTTTCTATCGAGGTTAGGTATTTTATCTGAATTTTTTTTTTTTTTAAAACACCTCACAACAATGTATTTTTTTGTGGCAGGCACTCAAAACTTCCTTACAGATATAATTCTTTCAAGTAGCCTACCAGATCATGAACTACAATTAACAGAGTACTAGTTAATTGAATAGTAACCAGAATAGTTATAACATTGGCACAGTAGATTTATTTAATTATTTTATTTATTTTTTATTTATTTTTTTTTATTTTTTTTTTATTTTTTTTTTGGGAGGGGGGATGGTAACCTAGATGAGTGAGTGAGGTTTGGGAATATTGACGCAATATCATGGCTGAGAACACCAGAAATGGGCTTCACACATTATACCCATGTGGGGAATAGAACCCCGGGCGTCTGCGTGACGAGCGAACGCTTCAATCAACACGTTACCCAATCGCCCCTTCTGTATCACAGTGAAATGCATTATGGTCGATCTTATCTTAATACGTGGACGAGAACATTTCTGTCATGTAATGGTAGACATATTAGATCGGTTCGATGCACAAACGAACATACTGGTACGGTATGTGAACCGAGGCACGTGACCGCATCACCTGTGACGTTAGGATCAATGAGAAGCACCATTTGTCTCGTGCAGGGTTAGAATGTAAAGTTTGGAAATCACGTGCAGAATTTCGTGATAACAATAATGACACACTGTGGAAACACTAAAGAGCGAGTGTTAGTTTTGTCATTGAGAGTACACATTGGAAACATCCCTTCTTAACGTACATACTTCTCTATATGTTTCTATGGTTCGCGTTTCTTTTGGCGGTGAGTATATTATTTTGTATATGGGCCACTGGCCTCAAGTACAGAAATAAAGAATTGAATTGACACTGAGCCAGACAAATCGGTGGACGATAGCATGAACACCAGTCCACACTATCGGGTTACGAGTTTAAGTTCTCTCAGAAAGACCCACCAACGGTGATACATGCGAAAAAATATATAATATAAATTCATACATAATACTAATATCAACATGACAGGAGTATTGTGCAAATACATATTGAGATTAACAGTTTCAATGAAATATGACAAAATGAAAGTGACAATCATCTCATACACGTTTTTAACAGCTTCAACATTTCTAAAGATGGTATTGATGAATTTGGACACGTTTTTCATATCTCTTACTCCAATACTTGATAAACATTTTTTTTTTTCAATTTATACATATTAGGCCATTCAGAGAGATCTTTGGGTATGTACACAGACCGCCACTGGTGAAGAGCTTCACACCTGAATAGGTAATGAAACTCGTTACCAACCGCGGGAGAACTACATAAATTACACAAACGTTCCACTCTTGGGATATCAGACCAGCGTCCGGTTTCAATGAGTAAGGTTTGGTTTGTGGTTCTTAATTGTAAGATTGGGTGATAAACTTTAAACATTTTATAGTACAACACCTTAAAACTCTCAGTGATGAAACTGGGTCAATTCTGCAGGAACTGGTCTTTCAATATTTCTTCAACTTCTACAAAGACACAAACTGCCATCTGACAATTTCCACCTGAGCCACAGTGTTTTCAAACCTAAAAACATGTGCCGGTCATATTGTCTACCCCTGAACACAAACAGGAAAACTTTAGTCAGATGTGCATGTACAATTTTAAGACCACATATTACATGATTTATACCTTGTTTGTAGACGTAAGCTGTCGGTCAAAAGAAGTATACACCTGAAAATTGAATTTGAACAAAAAATTACAAACGTTTTCTGAACGTTACTAGGCGGAAAACAGTCGCCGAATCAGTGCAAACTTAGGCTCCAAAAACCCAATTATTCCAGCATACAAATTCATCACCATCGAATGACAATTTCTAGATGGTTTAATTTTTAGCCACTTCCAACTTAACGACGTTTCAGTGACCAAGGCGCCTACCTACCCAGGGTATACCCGTACTCTTATAGACAATTACCTGAAAAGCCCACCTTGTTTTAAAATTTAAAGCACGAGGGTTTAAAATGGACAGCTTGATTGTTAGGTTGTTACAGTGTTACTCTAGTCATATCTTTGTAATCACACCCAGTCCCATCACTCTGCTAACAGAGGCTCGTTCGATTTACCGTTACATTGTTTCTTTGTACATTAATCCTACCTTTGTAAGCATACCAGCACGTATATACATTTTACATACATACTCGTATTCCCCTGATGAAGCGGCAAGAAGTAGCATTAAAGTGTTATTATTTACTTTAAAATTTGACATTTCTGGTCATCCATAAAAGTGTTATTATTTATTTTAAAATTTGACATTTCTGGTCATCCATAAAAGTGTTATTATTTACTTTAAAATTTCACATTTTGGGTCATTCATAAAAGTGTTATTATTTATTTTAAAATTTGACATTTCTGGTCATCCATAAAAGTGTTATTATTAATTTTTAAAATTTGACATTTCTGGTCATCCATAAAAGTGTTATTATTTACTTTAAAATTTGACATTTCTGGTCATCCATAAAAGTGTTATTATTTATTTTAAAATTTGACATTTCTGGTCATCTATAAAAGTGTTATTATTTATTTTAAAATTTGACATTTCTGGTCATTCATAAAAGTGTGAATATTTTCTTTAAAATTTGACATTGCTGGTCATTCATAAAAGTGTGATTATTTACTTTAAAATTTGACATTTCTGGTCATCCATGAAAGTGTTATTTACTTTAAAATTTGATCATACATAAAAGTGTTGTTATTTACTTTAAAATTTGGTCATCCATAAAAGTGTTATTATTTACTTTAAAATTTGACATTTCCGGTCATCCATAAAAGTTTAATGTTTATCCAACATCTATGTGATCATCAAAGACTTGGTTCCATAATGATGTAGAAAGCCAAGAAATCGAAGAAATTTTTTTAAACTGTTTTAACTTTTTTTTTTCTCGGAAAATCGACATTATTGAAATTGTAACCTGAATAATGTTTTTTCAGGTATGTTTTACCTTTTGGTACATCAACCCATTCAAGTCGTGTTCTGATGCAATCATTGTCAGGAATTGTTTACACGACATTTTGTTTTAACCATCCTGTAAAGTAAACATCAGTTATGGCATGATGTGTGTTTACAGCTGGTTCTGTTTACATAGCAATATTTAAAATATTAGAAACTACAGAAGACTTGGGGTTCAACGTCGGTCCATCAGTTTATCAGTTCCCAGCTGGCGACGAGGGAATATATTCACAGGAGCACCTGGTTAATTCAACGTCCTTTCAACTACAATCTGGTACATTTAGGTGGCACCATTTATATATATTATTATATATCATTTTTATTCAACAACCGAAATAAAAAACAAAATCCCAAAGTATGATAAAATAAAACCATAATTCATTTTAATTGTTATACCGTCTTTAATGGATAAGAGAAATTAATAAATTACAAAATCAAACAATAACTAACTTCTAAAACAATAATTTATCAATATATTTTAATTTACATTATAGACAGTCTCTTATCACTGCAAACAGCCTTCACCAACAAACGTAATTATATGCAATGTTAATGTATAACTAGTAAAGATCCTACATCACAATTATTACTTCATTTCGACCGATCCAAACTAATGGGTTAGCAAAGAAAACCCAAACCATAAAATATAAAGTGTGGCCATATTTCGGGCCGTGTGATTGCAGGAATATTAGTTGCACCAGGGCACCAGGGCACCAGGGCACCAGGGCATCAGAGCACCAGAGCACCAGAGCACCAGGGCACCAGAGCTTAGCGCTACGGCTCTCGTCAGTCTCTGTTAAAGTATCTGAGTTACATTCGACGTAGCGCTTATCATTCGTGACCAACTCGTGTTATTCCGGGACATGCCTTCTTGCAGGTCACGGAAAGGGGCGAGTGGTGACGAATGAGCGCTTTTCAGCGGTATGAAACGAGGCATACACAGAAATACTGATTAATGTAACAGTGGCAGTGTTGCACTCGCTGACGTTACACGGCTCACCACGTATCACTTGACTTCGATGCAATCTCTACTTGTATTGTTGCATATCGACCTGCACACATTTGAAGGCAATGCAAATACATAGTATAAATACAGAGATACTCATTTAGGGATATACACCTCCTGGTTCAACCTTTATGACTTGTATATGAGTGGAACCTCGTCAGACAGGACCTTGTTAATCCGAACTTCGAACCATCTCAGTAGGGACGGTATTTATGTAATCATTCCATCAATGGCGGGAGAAATGGGCTTGACATATATTACCAATATGGGAAATCGAACCAGGATGTTTCCGTGACGAGCGAACGTTTTAACCACTAGACTACTGGTAGAGAAGGCGATGTTTAGGAACCGACTTCAACACGTCTTCTGCATTCTTGGAGGTATTTACGCAAAGTGTAAATGCCGGCTTTTACGTTTATAATTCCATAAACATATTGAAGTCAATTCTTACAAATATACCCAACTGCTAAAGAAACGCATTACTCAAAGAAACGCAAAATTAATGTTTATTACTTTAGCATGATCAATTTTGGTCGTTACTAATAGATTTGTTAAATGCAATATTTTAGCTTTAATCACCTACAAATAATATCTTTCCAGCTCATATACATGTAGTTTCCAAGATATAACCCTTCACACTTATCCGGCATGTGCGTTTCTTTTGTAGTTGAGTATACATACGTCAGCGGTGAAGACATCACAGACTACTAATTTAATCATCAACACACAAAAATCAGTGACGTTGTTCAGCGCAATTACCACAAGCCCCGCCCATTCCTTTATCAACCAGTCAAAGATTAGTCCGTTAGTCCGTTAGCGGGCGTGGCCTGTTTTTCGGTTTTATGGAAACGCAAACAAGATTGAATGGTAAAACCAATCAAATGCCACGGAATCACTGTACATTTATTATGTAGTCATTGACAACGCATGGTTCTTTTACCTGGAATCGTGTTAATCTGGAAGGCGTTCTTTTAGAGGAGCAAGAATTATCCAGTCCACTTTGCGTGAAGGGATTGAAAAAACTTACTCCGGATTCTAAGGAACTATTTACTAATATACAGTGATCGGATATTATTTGACTTAAGTATTGATATCGGGGCGGTCGGGTAGCCTAGTGGTTAAAGCGTTCGCTCGTCCCGCCGAAGACCCGGGTTCGATTCCCGACATGGGTACAATGTGTGAAGCCCATTTCTGGTGTCCCCCGCCGTGATATTGCTGGAATATTGCTAAAAGCGGCGTAAAACCATACTCACTCACTCACTCACTAAGTATTGATATCAGTCAACTTTACCACGACACGTTTTCACTTTGTACATCAAAGATAAACTACAAGCAACCGATGTGGACGTGCATTTGGGATTCGACCTTGTGATCTCATGCCACGCTGCCTGTTTTTCTCTCCTTAACGAGTTTGAGTGTGTTGGCGAGAGTTACCTCCCTGTAGGCACTCCAGTCCACGCTGGTCTGAAGACTCCTCTGCAGGGTTTCTTCGCTTGGATAGGGACACAGCTGAAACACGCAGCTCATGACTGTCTTCAAGCACTTCAAAAAATACATTTTCAATGTTTGTCTTCAATACTACAAAATATCATTAACAATACATTTGACATATGTTTGTTTGTTTTTTACGCCACACTCAGCAATATTCAAATATGACGGCGGTCTGTAAATAATCGAGTCTGGACCAGACAGTCGAGTTATTGATATCACGAACATCGATCTACTCAAATGGGATACGATGACATGCATCAGCCATGTCAGCGATCCTGACCACCCGCCTCTTATGACAAGCATGGGTCGCTGAAGACCAATTCCAACCAGGATTTTCACGGGTCTTGTACATATATACTGGACTGTAGTGTATTGCATTCAAATTAAAGAGCATTTGTGGTTAAAAAATAAAACATAATTTGACTTATTAAACATCAACTATTGTTTTTCATTGGCCGAACGCGCCGCAAAAAGCCATGATGAAATGCATCCCATGACTGGCCGATCATTTTCATAACTAGAGATATAGGCCCAAATCTATCTCACTTATCATCCTTCAAGTATTGGCGGTGGGGTAGCCTTGGGGTCACGCTCGGAATCCGGTTCGATTTCAGACATAGGTACACGTGAATCCCATTTCAGGCGTCCCTTGGGCACGCGAGAAACCTATGATTGTGGGATCGAATACCGGTTCTCCCTGATTATATTTCTAGGTTTGTCAGCACCATACCCGTGCTCGTGGGTTCACCAAAGTGGTAAACGTCTAAGATCTGCATCACTTTGGGCTTTCTTCCCACATGATGTTGACACGCCATGATATAACTGGAAAATGTTCAAAGCGGCTTTAAACCCAACATACTCATTCACTGACTCACTCTCCCAACCATGCCGTGGTAAAACGAGAATACTGTTCAAAGCGGCGTTAAACCCAACTCACTCACTCACTGATCACAGCTTCTCTGCAACACAGCTCACTCACAGACTGAATGAACACCTTCACATAAATCCTTATTGAACGAGTGAAAATATGTAATTTTAATGTTAATGACGACGCAGTCCTCTCCACACAGTCAGGTTTATTTGAGGAAGGAAGTATAAAGTACCTGTTGACTCGTTTTCCGCGCGAGATCATCAGTCACGTGATCCATGTAGAGTTGTTTGTTGATAAGCAGACAATCGGCGCCATTGCTGACCACACAGAAACTTGTCTGTTGTCCCAGGAGTAGGTCCGCCAAGCCCTGAGATAGAGTCAATGTCACGTGAATGATTAACGTACATGGGTTATAAGTGAGTTTACGCCGCATTCAGCCTTATTCCATCCACACCACGGAGGTGACAACAGGATGTGCTTCACACATTGTACCATCCGGGGATTCGAACCCAGGTTTTCGGCGTATCTAGCCAACGCTTTAACCACTGGACCATTTCACCTCCCTAAGGGTTATGAAGTTATACCACAACTTATACAGGTGCTTGGAAGCGTGCATCATTATACATAGCCCTATCACCGCCTCCGTGGTCTAGTGGTAGAGCGTCCGCCCGGAGAGCGGAAGGTCCGGGGTTCGATCCCCGGCCGCGTCATACCAAAAGACGTTAAAAGATGGTACTTGTTGTTAACCTGTCTGGCGCTCGGCATTAGGGGGCTAAGACAAGAACTGGTCGCCTCGGAGTCAGTATACTGTGTCTGAGTGGGGTATTCATGTTAAACTGCGGCATGGTATCTCAGTGAGCTAGGACTATAAATCGGCATCAGTCCGGACTAGTACAAGCAGCCATACACACACTGCTAATAAGTGCAATAATCTTGGACGCGACGTTAAACCCAATTTCACCTCACCTCACCTCACCTCACCTCACCTCACATCACATAGCTCCATCATGTGAGATGAGTTTTACGCTGTTGGGATACGATGACATACATGTACATCAACCAAGCCAACGGGCCTAACCACCCGATCCCGTTTGTCGCCTCTTACGACAAGCATGGGCGCCTCTTGCCGCAAGCATTGTTGCTGAAGACCTATTCTATCCCGGGATCTGAACGGGTTTCAGTTATATGAAGGTTTGTCAGCTCAATGTGGGAGAATCCGGGGTAGAATAGGTCTTCAGAAACCCATGCTTGCTGTAAAAGGCGACTATGCTTGCCGTAAGAGGCGACTAACGGGATCGGGTGGTCAGGCTCGCTGACTTGGCTGATGCATGTCATCGATCCCAATTGCGTGGGTCGATGCTCATGATCTTAATCACTGGATTGAATGTGAATAAAGATTTTTTTTAAAATAAAAATTAATTAATCACTGGATTGTCTGGTCTAGACTCGATTATTTGCAGACCGCCGTCATATAGCTGGAATATTGCTGAGTGCAGCGTTAAACAACAATCCAACCAACCAATGTTGGAGGAAAGCCCGAAGCGATGCAGGTCCTAGGCAGCCACCAGCACATGTACGGTGCTGAGCAAGCAAGCATCATTACAAGGGTGAATCTGGGATAAGAACCACTAATACAAATCTAGTTGGGTTTTTTAAGATTTGAGTCTATGAAAGCACATTCATATGGACCGTAATATGCCAGTTGAGGTGGTGAGGTGAAATTGGGTTTTACGTCGCGTCCAAGATTATTGCACTTCTATAGCGACATGCATGCCCGTGTGTGTGTGGCTGCTTGTACTAGTCCGGACTGATGCCGATTTATAGTCCTAGCTCACTGAGATACCATGCCGCAGTTTAACATGAGTACCCCACTCAGACACAGTATACTGACTCTGAGCCGACCAGTCCTTGTTTCAGCCCCTTAATGCCGAGCGCCAGACAGGGTAACAACAAGTACCATCTTTTAACGTCTTTTTGTATGACGCGGCCGGGGATCGAACCCCGGACCTCCCGCTCTCCGGGCGGACGCTCTACCACTAGACCACGGAGGCGGTCATATGCCAGTTGAAGCATGTCATAGCTTGCTAGACCAATCCACTTTCTTATCCACTGGGCTATCCCACTGATTACACCACACAGCACACACTACAGTGAGTGAGTGAGTTGGGTTTAACGCTGCTTTGAACAGTATTCCAGTTCTATATCACGGCGCGTCATGTGGACGGGCCGCCTGGTGTGATGCGGGTTTCGGACGTTTATCCTTGGTGAAACCTAGAAGCAAGAATATGGTGCTGACAAACCTTGAAACATAATCGGGGCAACTGAGATTCGAACCCACGATCATGAATTTCTGGCACGCCCAAAGGGACGCAACTCTGCGCCAAGAAAACACAACTCAGTTTTGTATTGTTGAAGTTGAAGAGTCTCTACTTACAAACACTTGGCCTTTCGTCACAGTTTGAACTTTCACGAATTCAGGATTGAGATCAGCTGGGGTGACGTCAGCAGGATCCTACAATGAGTTATAAAGGATGGTATAGCATGGTATATGGCATCCCGACAATTAATATTTTAAAAAGCATAATTATACAATGTATGGCAAATATTATATCGATAATCACAATCGTCCCCCAGTCGGATTTGGTTCAAGCTGCAGTGTCTCAATTAAACAGGATTCAATAAAGATATTTTACCTTCAGAATTGTAAGTGTCGTGGTTTGCTTATAAAGATAATAATAACAAGAGCACTAAAACTGCAAATCACAACGGGACATGATAAGGCGTTGTACATGCATTGTACAGCGAGTGTATACTCCCCATGGCTCCGAGAATCAAAACTATTTGAGTGCACACTGATCTTGGTGTACGGAATCTGGCGCATCATCAATGGACTACAATAGTTTCAACAAGCCAAATGTAATAATGTTACATTTACCCCCCAAAAATGATTTTCTCGAGGTCTTGACAGCGTTAAGAAAATAACAGGGAGACGTGTATATCATGTGAAGGGCTTTTAAATCCTTACGTTCATGAATGATCAATAATCTAAGCTGGTCGAAAATAGAAATATGTACAATGTATCTAACAGCGCTAAATATAATCGCAAGCAAAGACATTTAACATCGCGATCGATGGTTTCGTTTGATATTTAGCTTTATCATCATCATCATCATCATCATCATCATTGTTACACTTTTGTCACGTGAATAAATATGTTGGTATATTAAGGATTTATAACAAATGATATAATCATAAACAACTTAAACAATAGGCATGTCGCAAAACGATTGATATCACAATTTGTATGTGTACTTAACAGAGCAATACCATCGCGCTCGCGTCATACAAACGTATACACTAAAGGGTGTACAAAAACAGAACTGAAAGTATGTAACAGATGATTACAGAGGCAAATGCAACATACACAAAACCTAACAATATCAATAAGATCATGCACACAATAGTTTATCCGAGCGATAGGTCAAGTTTTTACATTTTTTAATGTTTACACGATATACTGCAAAATTGAAGTTCACAAGTGAACGACGCAATTTGACGTTCATGCGTCTTTCACGAGGCCGTATTCTTGAAATGACGTAAACACTGACGGACTACTTACACAATCCTAGGGGAACCCCCGAGAATTCCCTGGCACGAATACATACAGACGCGTTGATCATTTAGACGCTTTCATCTTGAACTCAGCGTTTAAGCTACGACCCATCCAAGTAAACAAAACGAAGAAATGCATATCCAAGCTACCGTAGTATCGACTCGATCCGTGTCTAGACTGACAGTGTCAGTCCACAGCAATCTATGCATTTACCTTAGTACATATTTGACACATCTTTATAATCTTCTTCCAATGATCGGCCAATTTAATGCCGAAGGTTCAATAACAACTTGAAATCTCTCCCGTCACGTTTATCGGGTTGGCCATTTTGGCGTTTTGTCCTTGATGTAAATGTATTACGACGCGCAGTCATTGTGACCGACTAACTGAGGTAAGACCTTTCTCATCCAAGATGATATGTTTTTGATACATTTGTCGTAAACAAACTACAAAAGATGTTCCTGTAGAGCATGCTGAGCATACATATGCTCACGTCACCTCTCTTTTTAAAGAACTACTTCATTCCGCGACACAGCTTGTTGTATGTCGGTGTAAACAAGTAGTCACGCGCACTTAATACAATTGTCTGTAGATCTACATCCTTCCAGGTCGAAAATAGTGACGAATTTCTTTAATAAGAATTGACGTTCACTTTGTATGAACCTTCATATAGTGTAAGTTCATACTCCAATGGAAGTATTTTACAAAATTTTAGATTAAACTGATATTTCTGTTCCAGTTCGAAGTTCTCTCGAAGTTGAAGTATCAGTGGTTGATTTTCTTAAACCAAGCCTTGAAATCCGCACCAGGGCCCACTTGCACAAAGCGATCTTAGCGCTAAGATGATCGTAACTCCCATACTTTAACATAGGCTTACAATAGTTGTAGCGCTAAGATCGCTTTGTTCAAGTGGGCCCAGGACCCCATTCCACAGAGTGATCATGGCGCTGATGTGATCGTAACTCCCATACTTTAACATAGACCTACGTCAGTCGTAGCGCTCAGGTGATCGTAACTCCCATACTTTAACACAGACTTACAACTACCGTAGCGCTAAGGTTTTAGTAACTCCTATACTTTAACATAGACTTACGACAGCCGTAGCGCTAAGGTGATAGTAACTCCCATACTTTAACACAGACTTACGACAGTCGTAGCGCTCAGGTGATCGTAACTCCTATTCTTTAACATAGACTTACAACTACCGTAGCGCTAAGGTTTTAGTAACTCCTATACTTTAACATAGACTTACGACAGTCGTAGCGCTTAGGTGATCGTAACTCCTATACTTTAACATAAACTTACGACAGTCGTAGCGCTAAGGTGACTGTAACTCCTATTCGTTAACATAGACTTACAACTGCCGTAGCGCTAAGGTTTAAATAACTACTATACTTTAACGTAGACTTACGACAGTCGTAGGTAGCGCTTAGATGATCGTAACTCCTATACTTTAACATAGACTTACGACAGTCGTAGCGCTAAGATGATCGTAACTCCTATACTTTAACATAGACTTACGACAGTCGTAGCGCTAAGATGATCGTAACTCCTATACTTTAACATAGACTTACGACAGTCGTAGCGCTAAGATGATCGTAACTCCTATACTTTAACATAGACTTACGACAGTCGTAGCGCTAACATGATCGTAACTCCTATACTTTAACATAGACTTACGACAGTCGTGGCGCTCAGGTGATCGTAACTCCTATACTTTAACATAGACTTACGACAGTCGTAGCGCTAACATGATCGTAACTCCTATACTTTAACATAGACTTACGACAGTCGTGGCGCAAAGGTGACCGTAACTCCTATTCCTTAACATAGACTTACGACAGTCGTAGCGCTAAGATGATCGTAACTCCTATACTTTAACATAGACTTACGACAGTCGTAGCGCTAAGATGATCGTAACTCCTATACTTTAACATAGACTTACGACAGTCGTAGCGCTAAGATGATCGTAACTCCTATACTTTAACATAGACTTACGACAGTCGTAGCGCTAAGGTGATCGTAACTCCTATACTTTAACATAGACTTACGAAAGTCGTAGCGCTAAGATGATCGTAACTCCTATACTTTAACATAGACTTACGACAGTCGTGGCGCAAAGGTGACCGTAACTCCTATACTTTAACATAGACTTACGACAGTCGTGGCGCTAAGGTGACCGTAACTCCTATTCTTTAACATAGACTTACAACTGCCGTAGCGCTAAGGTTTAAATAACTACTATACTTTAACGTAGACTTACGACAGTCGTAGGTAGCGCTTAGATGATCGTAATTCCTATACTTTAACATAGACTTACGACAGTCGTAGCGCTAAGGTGACCGTAACTCCCATACTTTAACATAGACTTACGACAGCCGTGGCGCTAAGGTGACTGTAACTCCTATTCCTTAACATAGACTTACGATTGGCGTAGTGCTACGAATGTTTTGTGGAACGGGGTCCTGTAGGTTAAAGGCTTCTGAGCATGTGCAATACGTTTATAACATTATTGGAAATCAAGCGAAGTGGGACATGCTACCAACCTTGGACACCCATGTTCGTACCATGGACCGGGAAAATATAACTAAGAGTTCCCTGGACTCGATAATGATATGCCCAGGTTAATCCCTGTTATTAACACTTATTGCTAAATCTACAATTCTGAGGGGGCGGTCGGGGAGCCCAGTGGTTAAAGCCGTGATATTGCTGGAATATTGCTAAAAGCGGTATAAAACCATACTCACTCACTACAATTCTGATTCTAAGTGTTCTAATCTGTATTACGAGGGGCGGTCGGGTAGCCTAGTGGTTAAAGCGTTCGCTCGTCTCGCCGAAGACCCGGGTTCGATTCCCGACATGGGTACAATGTTTGAAGCCCATTTCCGGTGTCCCCCGCAGTGATATTGCTGGAATATTGCTAAAAGCGGCATAAAACCATACTCACTCACTACAATTCTGATTCTAAGTGTTCAAATCTGTATTACGCAATATCATGCGCGTTTTCTTTTGAATGTTGGGATATTATTACGGATATGATAAATGTACGAGTTAAAGATATTGCTCGGTGATGTCAAATGACATAGTTATTTAAATAATTTAAAGCTTATTTACAACCTTCGGTTATAAACGAACTCAAATGGACCACAATTATTATTTCATTTATACCGTAGTTCGTTATAAGCATATATACAGCATATATACAGCAAATGGCCGGGACAAAAAAAAGTTCGTTATATCCACCAGTTCGTTATAAACGGTGTTTACTGTAATTTGAATAACTGACCGATCATTTGATATTCAGGCTGGGACTAGGGTCTGGGATTTCATGTAAATTGCTTCAGACTATTGATAAAAAATGTCTGCCAAAAACATTACATTGCTGCGGGTGATTTTAGAGAGAAGAAATATTTAGGCCCATAGTTTTAATTTAAAACATATATGGTTTTGCAACTGTAGCTCCAAACAAAAGCACGAGAATGAGAATAATTTCAAAGATTCATCAAACATTACAAAATTATCATTATAAACCAGGAGACTATTTCAAACCTTACACTTCTTCTTAACACCATTTCATCATGCATAAACTGCGGTCTGTGTGGCCTGTATCTCCGTGAGACACATTTTGTTATCTTGTGCGCAAAGCAATTTTCTTATCACATACAAAGTGCACATTAAATCGTATGACGTTCTGGTCGAAAATTGTTAAATTTCATACAATATAAACATTATCGCCACTTCATGAGAACAATTTGTAAATATGGATGGACATCTTTTTGAATTGTTATGTTTTGATATCATTATCACGTATCGATTACAAAGTGAATCGATCTTCGTTCTAGCTTGAGCTATTGATATTTCACAGATGGCGAGTAAAGATATGCGGTCACGTGGCATCGCGGGATGTTTTGATTGGTTGCACGTGCTGCAATACAACGTCACCAGCGTGCCTCGGCGTTATTTCTATGTTTGTTAACAACAGCTTACTTTAACAATAGATTAATTTGTGAGCAATATGTTGTGACTCCGTGGTAAAATTATGTCGATTGATCTTTGCATGACAGTACCATAAGCAGCACAGCTGGCGTCGGTTTGTGAAGGTCGATAGTATTTCGAGATCGTGATCGCCGATATTCGCAAGATACGTCATCAAAGTAAAAAATTAAACATCTTTTTTTAACTTATGTATATATAATACGCTGACTCACTGATCGTGGGAGGTAAGGGTGGCCCAAGGCGCTGCGATTCGCTGAACAGAGTCGCGTCCTTAAGGCATGCCAGAAACCTATGGTCGTGGATAAGAATTCAACATTCGCCCTGGCTATAGTCCAGCATCATACCCTGGCTCGTGGGTTTAATCGAAGTGGTAAGTGCAGTGATATAACTTAAATATTTTACGAGGCGGCGTTAAACCAAACCCTCTCACACACTGATCATGAGACATTCTTCAAAAGGTATCTACCTCACAAATCCACCCCTCAACTTCTGTACCCAGCATCCAGGTGCTCACTGACGACCCCTTAAATCCACCCCTCACCTTCTGTACCCAGCATCCAGGCGCTCGCTGACGACCTCACAAATCCACCCCTCAACTTCTGTACCCAGCATCCAAGCGCTCACTGACGACCTTTTAAATCCACCCCTCACCTTCTGTACCCAGCATCCAGGCGCTCGCTGACGACCTCACAAATCCACCCTTCAACTTCTATCCCAAGTATACAGGTGCTCACTGACGACCTCTTAAATCCACCCTTCACCTAACATCCCAAGCATCCAGGCGCTCACTGACGACCTGACAAATCCACCCCTCAACTTCTATCCCAAGTATACAGGTGCTCACTGACGACCTGACAAATCCACCCCTCACCTTCCGTCTCAAGCATCAAGATGCTCACTGACGACCTCACAAATCCACCCCTCACCTTCTGTACCCAACATCCAGGCGCTCACTGACGACCTCACAAATCCACCCCTCAACTTCTATCCCAAGCATCCAGGTGCTCACTGACGACCTGACAAATCCACCCCTCACCTTCCGTCCCAAGCATCAAGATGCTCACTGACGACCTCACAAATCCACCCCTCACCTTCCGTTTGATGCCAGCATCTAGGTCCTCGCTGATTGTCCGCACGTGCTGGGCGAATCCCATCATCTCGCGTTCTCTCTCAACGACGCTCTGTCGGCGAGGGTTCGTGACATCATCAAAAACCCGCTTGCCTGTAACAGTTTCTTTGATTACATATATGTAGAATTTGGGAATAGAACATTTAGGTAAGAGGTAGGCATCCCCTTGGGCGCCAATTGTACTTCCCTCTTTGCTGGTCTGTTTCTTCATGCATATGAATCGGAATTTCAGCTCGGATTGGAACTTTTAAAAACACGGGAATTTGGCCAAGATACTAAACTTAAGTTTCAGGTATATCGCTCTGATATCGTTCTATAATGTTCATATAACCAATACACTTCTACAGCGTTACCCTCCTTAACTAGAAATAAGAGAGAACAGAGAAACCACATGATATTTTTCATATTTAGATCTATGCAAACATATTCAAAATATAGAGTAACAATAAATATCCACAAGGCTGTATGACAAAGAGGGATTTCCATTAGTCAACTTTCCCCTTATGTCTAGAAATATTCCAACAGCTTCAGGCATTGGTGTCTACATGTCACAAAAATATTTCTACCGCCCCTTACTCGATTAAGTCTTTTCGACGAGGGCAACAAGAGCCAAGAAACTACGTTTATAACGAACACGCTTATAACCAACTGACGGATATAACGAACTGACCTTTTTGGTCCCGGCAACTTGCTGTATACATGCTTATTACCAACTACGGTTATAACGAACTATAATTAGAACTCCCCTTGATTTCGTTACAACCGTAGTTTACTGTATGTCATTTCTTAGCCTCTATTGAGTGAGTGAGTGAGTATGGTTTTACGCCGCTTTTAGCAATATTCCAGTAATATCACGGCGGGGGACACCAGAAATGGGCTTCACACATTGTACCCATGTCGGGAATCGAACCCGGGTCTTCGGCGTGACGAGCGAACGCTTTAACCACTAGGCTACCCGACCGCCCTATGATATGTTACATTATATAGAAAGGCAATCATAACACAGTTATCGGCTGAGGCAGATACATCGGGGTCGCGACAAGATATTTCTCTACACGTCATCAAGCCTTCACAGGGCAAAACCAACTGGAAACCATGAACGTTATACGAGATATCACTTTGACCAGCTTGTGATATGTGTACTCACAAAATGGATGCGGTCAAGATTGATGGTTAATTAATAAATGTGAATGTGTATTATTAAAACACATCTGTGACGTCATTCTATTATTTGAACGCGCCATTATTTTTCAAGAATGGAGAGTTGCTTGTCAACCGTACATTATCTTGAAGCAGCATTTGAACTTTTCAAATATTTTCAACTACAGAATATTTTGTCAAAGTGTAAAAGTAGGGATGAGTTTTAAGTAGGGGAATATCCTCGTAACTCTCCATTCCTTAAAAATAATTGGCCTCGGCCGCTGCGGGGCCTCTGCTCCATTATTTTTAAGGAATGGAGAGTTACTCGGACATTCACCTCTACGTAAAAAAACATAGACAATAAGAATTCCCCCACAGAAACATTTCTCGTCTAGAAGCGGCAAAAATAGATATAACGTAATAGAATCATCATCTGTGCAAATATAATCTTGCAGCTTTAAACGATCTGTCAGTTTTAATGAATGCAGCTTTTAAAGGCAGTCGATACTTTCAGGCTTTGTGATTGAAATAACTGTACATGTTTGAAAACAGTTAATCAACGGTAAATAAACATATATATTCGTGAAAAGACGACCTTGGTCGTGTTCATTATGTCACCGCGATGACCTTGACGTTGTGGATGTTTGACTGTGAGTCACATGAATAACGCCGTTAGCTGTCGATGAACGAATGGCAGTCTAATTAACTCGAAATGACGAGGACCGTTAAAAATATGTCGAGTTATTCATTGTTCTAAATGCGCGAGTCATTGTTAACATTTAATTGCACGTTGTCACGTGTATAACGCTGTCGATACATGAGTGAGTGATTGAGTGTGCGAGTGAGTGAGTGAGCGAGCGAGTGTGCGAGTGAGTGAGTGAGTGGGTGAGTGAGTGAGTGTGCGAGTGAGTGAGTGAGTGAGTGAGCAACATCACGGCGGGGGACACTAGAAATGGATAGCACACACTGTACCCATGTGGGAATTCGAACCCGGGTTTTCGTCTTTAACAACAAGTCTACTCCACAGCCCGTTGACAGAAGGGGAATAACGATGAAAACACGGTAAAAAAATCTTATATTCGTCGAGTTATCCGAGGTTCGAAACAAGCGGAGTGCCGATATATGACAACACTGCTCCACCATACCGATTCTTTAAAACAAGCCTCGACCACCTTGTAAAACATGTAAAATATGTTCGAAACACGCGGACATCAAATATAACCCAATACGGCTATACCGTGCGGTGTTACATCGTCTTGTACATGTCTCGACGGCCATGTAAAATACTTCAAGTGATCCGCATTTCGAAACAAACGTGATGACGATATTTCATAGTTACATACGTGTTCTTATACAGCATTGTTGACGTCATGTGTCACGTGATAATGGATGACGTCACAGGTTGTCACCTGCCATTGTTCACGTGCATCGCTGGTTCACTTAGCTTCCGGACGCTGGAACCAATCCAGCAAACTTATCTTGTTCTCGACAGATATCAGTTTTACGAAACTAGGGGATTTTTAATGGTATCTGATCAAAAATGAGGGTGTTGCATAGAATTTTATAGAACTGTGTGCAATAATCTTAACGCGACGTACCCCTTTTCACATCACCCATCACCCAAACACGAAAGTAGAAACGATCCACTTCGTGTAACCCATGTGTGTCCAGATAATTCAGTGATATATACTCATCGACAAAAAGAAACGCGAATACCATACATGTCGGTTAATATATGAAGAATTACTCATATTCCAGAGATAAATGATTGGTTTGATGCACGTATTGGTATGTTGTGTGAACCGACGCTCATGAACGCATCACCTGTGACGTCATAGATCCATGACTTGAGATGAACAATTTCTCTCGTGCAGGATAAGCGCGTAAAGTTTGGAAATCACGCGCGTGATAAGAATAAAGACACTCTGTGGTAACACTTGACTGATTGTTAGTTTTGTCATTTATTAGTACACACTGGAAACAGCTATTCTTAACGTACATGCTTCTCTATATTTTTATATAGTTGGCGGTTTTTTCGGCGGTGAGTATATTATTCTTGTAATTGGGCCACTGGACTGAATTACAGAAATAAAGAATTGAATTGAATACACTGAGCCAAACAAACCGGTGGTCGATAGCATGAACATCTTGTCACGCCATCAACCAAGTCTCGGAGCCTGGTCACGATCCATTAAGTCGTTAAGAATAGCATAGGTTGTTAAGTGCCCTAGTCTTATCTCAAGGCCGTAGGATTCACTGTATATTGAATACCCACATGGAACGTGTGACGTAACACATGCAGACGTTGTATGTCTATCTTACTCATGTTTTTAAATTCGAGCAATTTCGTAAATATTTTCGAAATTTTTGACACACCATGTCACGATGACTCAGACTTCCTTGTGATACCTACCACTTGATGACGTCACACTATTTTCATCTGGGATATTGAGACTCCGTGGTCTGCAGAAGTTGTTTCTCATCCGCATGCGCCGAAGCCGCTGTCTTTCACTTTCTTCGCAGTTTGTGTTAACACTTCCGAGTAGCTTCTCCGATTTGATATTCGGTAAATGGATTATTGAAAACCCGGCCCCTTTCCCGTATCTAGGCTTCCCAAATTGCCAAACCTTCGAGTCAAAAAACGTGGAAGTGTTTATATCAAGCGCCTCTACCGAGGTCGAAGAACGAAGTTCCCGTGGCGTCCCGTTGTCATGGTCATCTGTTTCGTTATCTACTGACTGACGTAGCGGCACGTGGAGCTCGTGCAGGATCGACTTCCGCCACTGCTGCAGCTTGAACTCTCGTTCCTGTTTTTGCTTCTCGGACAGATACAGCGACCCTGAAGGATAAATGGTGACCGACTATTTAATATTTGGCGCAGGGAGGGGGATCCTGGAACTTTTTGAAATATGATGTTTTCTCACTCGATACGTCAAGACATTCACTTTTTTTAACAGAAATCGGAAGTACAAGTAAGGTGTTTGATTGGCCTTCTAGAAGTTGGTAGAGCGTCCGCCCGGACAGCAAATCCCCGGGCGCCTCAGACCAAAAGACGTTAAAAGATGGTACTTGTTGTTACCCTGTCTGGCGCTCGGCATTAAGGGGCTAAAACAAGGACTGGTCAGCTCGGAATCAGTATACTTTGGCATGGTATCTCAGTGTGCTAGCAGTATAAATCGGCATCAGTCCGGACTAGTACAAGCAGCCACACACACACATGTGCATGCACGTCGCTATATAAGTGCAATAATCTTGGACGCGACGTTAAACCCCATTTCACCTCACCTCGCCACTAGAAGTTGGTGAGTGAATAATAAAATCTAGAAGTTGGTGAGTGAATAACAAAATCTTACAACTTTATGGATAACAACAAACAGAAAACTCTCAGAAGCCATAGAACCGTTGATTACAAACCTTTGATCAACAGAGATCAAGGGTATTACAACCCGACAGCCTAGGAAGATCTAATTAAGCAATAGACCTTTCAATTAGTATCCAATCAGCCTGTTTTTAATCCTCACTGTATATCTGGTCTCATCACCCGTGAACCATATGTTATTCTTACTGTACATCTGGTTTTATCCAGTTTATCTGTGTACTTTTTGTTATCCATTACCCTCTTTATATAGTTATCAAGGTTCGCCCCGATTATGTTTCTAGGTTTGTCAGCACCATACCCGTGCTCGTCGGTAAATGTCTGAGACCTGCATCACTTCGGGCTTTCCTCCCACATTAAGCTGACACGCTGTAATATGACTGGAATACTGTTAAGAGCAGCGTTAAACCCAACTCACTCACTCACTCACCACCTTATATTCAATTTTTTTAATCTGCTGCTTATCACAACATATCATGGACATATACCTCTCATCACTTGGTCCACAGGAGTCCGTATCTAAAAATAGACGCCCTCATGCATATTCATGACCATCTCCACACGCGAGCCCGAAGGGCGTCTATTTTTGAGGCATGAGGGCGTCTATTTTTAGATACGGACTCCTGTGCTTGGTCGTAGTCACTTCAGCTTGATAACGGTGTAAGAATCAACATCGAAAACGTCGCTATATGCAATAAACCAGAAGTTGTTATCCATAAAGTTGTACGTTTATTTTATTTATTTACAAGATAGGTGGTCTAGCTTTGGTTGCATGTGGCTATATCTAATGTTTGAAAGAACCGATGACAGTTAAGCTATTGAATGATGATGTGTTTTAAAGTTTGATTTGTGTTATACTACAGTTGTGATATTTACTTTTCTGTTGTACTGCCCTTCGTTGACAGGTATTTAATACTCGCTGCAATAATTTATTTAATAACCCACTTACTCTCATTTGAAGCCACGTACCGTGTTTTCGTCTCCATTCGTATGCCTCTACCCGTCTGAGTTTCTTTAACACCGATAAAGACCCCTGGAATAAAACAAGACTAAGGTGGCACATGAGTCATATACCCCAAGTACAACATAAGACATAGATCTTAAAGGGGAAGTGTACACGCAAAAATTACTATCTTTCTTTTTCTAAACAAAACGCAATTTTAGAATTAGTTAGTATCTGTGTTTGAAAATATACACTCATTTTTTTCACAGTGAAAGTAGGAAGCTCACAATGGTGTGAAAATGATATGCCGTTATGAGGCCTTCGTTTTTCGAGCTAAACAGGCCTGAGTTATCCCCCTTAGATTATGACGTAATTGGTGCCAATTCAACTGGGTCCCTGTCTATTCTGAACGCAAAAGATATCAAGTACAAGTTTTCGGTAAAACAACATGGCCTACGACACACTCCGGCGCAGTGGTGACTCAGCATAACACTATGCTGGCTGGCATCTGAGACGCTAGAATCACACACCAGTACCTACACCACGTGAAGCGGCTCTAACAAAGCATGATGACGTCATAATGTTTATCAATTGGCACCAATGACGTCATATTGCAAGGGGCATAAGCCATGGTGTTTTTGTTATGGAAATAGAACACTTGGTAAATGTGAAAAATATAAATCGTTTTAATGCACAACATATGTTAATTAATTGTGATATATATTATATATTTTATATTTTTGTCTATGACACTTCTAGGTTAACACTTTTATTGTGGAAAAAGTACAAGAAAATTAGGTTCATTTCCGTGTGAACTTGCCCTTTAAAGTGACACCGAAGTCCTAGACACGAAGATAACGCTTAAGTCACAGACCCTAAGGTGAACTATAGGACATGGACGGGTAGGTAGAACATGGGACTAAATCCTGTTCAATAAAAAAGAAATATACTCTCCTTTAAACCATAAGACAAAGAACCTCCTAGAACACATATACAACTTATACCCTACAGTAAAACATTAGTCATAAAACATCCAGAAAATATACACAATTTATGCCCTATACGATCGTATATAGAAAATAGACGTCGTTTCATAGAACATAAGACACTGAAGAAACTATGACTTAAGCATTAACTGTGAGTAATAGAAAAAAATTGAACTAAAATTTACAACAATAGGTATGATCCTTAAAGAAAGATGATTGCATTACAGCCCAGTAGCCCTCTCCAGGTCTGGAAGTTGTAGATAGTGAAGCCATGGTCTCTTTTTAATTAGAGTAGTCATTAATTTCTGGAAGGATACACCAGACACTAAATTGGGTTTGGATGAGTTTGTGTGGATTCAAACCTGTCAATTAGTCTTAGCCTAGTTTCTCTTTTCTATAACAAAATAAGACAGACATGGAAGATTTCATTTATGAGTCTGAAAGTTATTTTCACCGTCTACCATTTAAACCAAAATATCGTGAACATAAAGGCATATTTCAATCAACAGTTTCAGTGATTGCCGAAGACAGGTGCTTAAATATAAAACGTCAACGCCAGAGAGCAACCAGTCTCGATTATCTGACGAAACAGATTCCATTGGGCGTAAAAGGCAAAACAGCTGTGAAAGCCATAAGAGTGGATCACTGAAAATCAGGGATGGCACCAGGTGTTCGCGAAACGGGTAGGCATGTCCTGAGCTACTAGTAGCACCCGCCACTCCTACAATTTGCCTTTAAAAGTTTGTGTTTGTTGCCTAACACCGCACAGCAGTACTCCTGCCAAACCAAATTAAGCGTCGTCTTACCGTGATGTATCCATCTATCAATAAATGACTGCCCAAAGTATATTACACAGGGAAAATGTTTTACACGGTGTAGGGGCGGTCGGGTAGCCTAAGATTACTGCACTTATATAGCGATGGGCATGCACGTGTGTGTGTGTGTGTGGCTGCTTGTACTTGTCCGGACTGATGCCGATTTATAGCGCTAGCTCACTGAGATACCATGCCGCAGTGTAACATGAATACCCCACTCAGACACAGTATACTGACTCCGAGCCGACCAGTCCTTGTTTTAGCCCCTTAATGCCGAGCGGCAGACAGGGTAACAACAAGTACCATATTTTAACGTCTTTTGGTATGACGCGGCCGGGGATCGTACCCCGGACCTTCCGGGCTCTCCGCTCTCCGGGCGGACGCTCTACCACTAGACCACGGAGGCGGTCACCTGGAGAAGGACACCGAACTGTATAAAGCAATCATGTTTCTTTGAGGATCTTACCTTTACTTTGTAGAAGTAAGGAATGAGTTCAACTCACTGATTTGACCACAATAAGCCAGTCGGAGTAGTTGCTGTCCTTGACCAGTACGTCTCCACGTCTAGGGAGGCCACGGGAATGTAAACGTCTCACATTAAAAGGACTTTGTAAATTAAGTGTTTGAAATACATTTTAGAAGTGATACACATAAGGAAGAGAATTTATGGATGTCAACTTCTTTATTATGAGGAACACAACGTTACGGAGTATATGCTAACTCATCCATCACGGTGTCGTTGTACAAAACAACCTCAGCGCTACGACTGTCGTAAGTCTGGGTTACGGTGTGGGAGTTACGATCATATTAGCGCTAAGATCGCTCTGTACAACGACACCCAGGTGAATAAATGCTATGGGGCTCAGAACATATATATATATACCTTCACTTTGTAAATTGAGGAAATAATCAATATGCATGTGTGGACATGCTTATTAAATTCATTAAATTAATTTCTATCCACGTTTTAAGCTTTAAGATAAAAAAACGACAATGAGACAAGACACTGGTTAACACAATATGTCAACAGGGATTGTGTTGTACTACCTTCTCACTAGGAGAGTTCGTAAAAATACTTTTGCATTTTCTCTCAGAGTTTACCAAAACGATCTATTGGTTTTCTTTATTTCCGGGAGGTATTTCTATGATGCTGTATCTGGGCTAGCTAATTAGCACTCTATATACCATGCATTCCGTAAGTATTCCAAGAAAGTAGGTATCCAGTTTTAATGCATGTCGTAAGACTCAAGAGGGGTCCGAGAAGAGCAGGATTAGAACTGGTTTCAGCAGCCACGCTTGTTGTAAGAGGCGACTAACGGGATCGGGTGGTCAGGCTCGCTGACCTGGTTGTCATTACATCCCAATTGCGTGGATCGAGGCTCCTGATGTCAGTCACTGGATTGTCTGGTCCAGACTCAATTATTTACAGACCGTCGTCATATAGCTGGAATATTGCTGAGTGCGGCGTTAAGCAACAAACAAACAACTGAAAAGGATCGAGAGGTCGGGCTTGGGGACTTATTTCATTAGGTGATGCTGTTACATCCCGGTGGCGTTGAACATGCTTCAGTCAACGACTTCCTGGTCAAGACTCGATTATGTACAAGTCGCCGTGAAATAGCTGAAGTAGTGCTGACCGTGGTGTAAAACAACATTCACTCACTTGAAGTAGAGGAAGAGGCACTTGGAAGGGTGTTCCAGGAGTCTCCCTAACGGCCAGCCCTCCAGGAACCTCAGATGTCTGTGGGAAGAAGGCAGTGTTAGTGAGTGAGTGAGTGAGTTGGGTTTTACGCCGCTTTTAACAGTATTCCAGTTATATCGCGGCGTGTCAGCTTAATGTGGGAGGAAAGCCCGGAGTGATGCAGGTCTCAGACGTTTACCACTTCGGTGGAACCCACGAGCACGGGTATGGTGCTGACAAACCTAGAAACATAATCTGGGCGAACCGGGATTCGAACCCACAATCATAGGTTTCTGGCGTGCCCAAGGGACGCAACTCTGCACAGCGAATCGCGGCGCCTTAGACGACTGGGCCACCCGTGCCCCCCAGTGTTAGTAGTAACTACACCCTTACCATGTCACAGCGCTCATGGTATTGATAAAAGAAGAAAATTAGTTCTTGATTTTGTTTTCTTACGAAATGCGTGTAAGATTTCCTTCACATTCTGACTTCTACAAGAAGAATGAAAAGAAACATCCCAAGGTGCTCGATTCATCTCTGTTGTGAATGTAGGAAGATTATGTGCGGGGATTACAGAATAACTTACAACCTGTGAGGACTTACGGAGTGTCCCGAGTGATTGAATAGTGCAAGTCCCGAACATTTGGCGGCAACTAACAGCATTCATTAGCGAAAAGGAGATAATCTAGGATGCTGAATTGGAGGAGGTTATTCCATTTATTACCAAAAATGGCATTTTTTTCAAGAAAATGAAGAAAAAACGAATGAAATGTCAACCCTACAAAGGAATGTGTTGTTCATGACGTCACATCTTATTGTTCTTAACAATGGAGTAAAGTGACATCATGTCACGACAACTGACCTCCGACAATCTCTCAAAAGCACGTGCGCAAATATTTTGAGAATAACCAATCAGCTACGAGGACATGAATATAAAAACTCCTGAAATGTCAATCTACGGTTAACTTCACCCAAAGCAGCCTATTGTTCAGATGGCGCTTTGTAATCTACTGGTGACGTCAATGGATGACCTCATATCGTATTTTTCTGAACAATGTAGCACTGTGATGTCATATTGCGTCAACTCACCAGATGGCATTGAGAATCACAAAATGCACATGTGCAAATATTGAAAATTTCACACTATTATTCAACCCTTATGTTAATAATTATGTAAATATAACCACACCCTTGGATGCTTCGTTGTAGACAAGGACGATTTTCCATAAAACGATGTCAACGTATTGAAGACTACAATCTCTACATACTGGTACTTGAGGGACATGCATGTACTGTAAGCAGAGGTTACCTGATGAAGTCCTCGTGGTCTGGGTCTGTGAGACACTTGACGCCCCCCGCCATGAAGATTCGGTGGTAGTCCTGGGGATGAAGGAACAGAGGCACTGTGAGACTCTTATACCTGCCAACTCTCGCGCATTTGGACTGAGACAAGATTTCTATCCAGCATCGCGTCAGCTGTACGGAGGTGCCTCCCTTAGTCGAGCCAGACACCTATGATCCTGAGTTCTACTCCGGTTCGCCCCGATTATGTTTCTAGGTTTGTCAGCACCATACCCATTATTATTTATTATTATTGTTGTTGTTGTTGTTGTTGTTGTTGTTGTTGTTGTTGTTGTTGTTGTTATTATTATTATTATTATTATTAATTTTATTATATTTAAAAATATATTAATGCAGCAAAGAGGGTTTGGGTGATCTTGGCACAGTCAGGCTGGTTAGGCTCATCATCAGCTCAGGGTCCTTGCCCCCTCTACACGCAGCCCAGACAGCGAATGGGACTTCTCACAGGAAGCGCTGCCTCGTCAAACCCACCCAGAACTTTTTGGAGAATGTAAAGACTCCCCAACACGGCAGCCTTCTTCTGCATTACCCAGATAAAGAGAAGGGCTGTATTCCTGGTAGCAAACCTGGGTACTCTCCCAATGTCAGTCAACAGATTGGGAGGTACCAAACCTGAGGCACAGAGAACAATGGGGAGTCGGACAACTTGGGGTACTTAGGATGAAAGTGTGACATTTCGACGTCCGCATATTTGCCATGTTTTTCCTGAATCTTGACAATCACATTAGTGTCAAAAATAGACGGAAAAATCAATAACTTATTGGATTTACCCAAAAGGACAAGATCAGGTTTGTTGGCCTGCATATGTCCGAGGCTGTATACAGCCTATTTCAAAGAATTTTGTATTTATCACTTTCCATGACGCCCTCTGCATATTCTGGGTCGAACTATGGATAGACCTCTGTGTCAAAACCACAAGCAAGGCGAAAAATGATCAAGCCACTCCATCATGTCGCTTAAGATACTGTGTTTGTGCCAAAGCTGGGCATCCACTGACAATTTGTTGGACAGTCTCATTAAATTCATTACATAATCTACATTTCATATTCACATTTTGGTGCAAAATCACACATTGACGGTTTCGAGTGGGAAGTGACTGGTATTAAGCAGCAAACAAAGCCTTCTGTTTCACCTTTTAGGCTAGCCGACTTCATCTACGTGAACAACTCTGCAGGGTTGCTGATCCTCTCAACACACTGCACATCAACTCGATGCAGTGGTCTAATAGATAGCCTCTCAATGAAAAACTGGGTCTGGGTCTGAGTCTGAGTCTGAGTCTGGGCCGATTTGATATGGCACTTCGTTTGGTTGACACTCATTTCTGTACCACCCAGCAGTACAGAACCATCAACAAAATCAACATTGATTAAGGTTATGTCCCACATCCTTGGCTCGTTTATGAAAACTGTGGAATGCCTTGTTTTCACCATGAGGATGAACCTAAGCAGCCTGACTGTGCCAGGTTCACCCAAACCCTCTTTGCTGCATTTATATATTTTAATCTAATAATGATAATAATAATATCATTATCATTGTTGTTGTTGTTGTTGATATTATTATTATTATTTAATTCAATATACATTGCACTTTATTTCCACATCACAAGGGCACACACAAACCGCTGTTCTATTTTAATAAATACCCCCGAATCCACACAGCTTCGTTTCCGCAGTGTCGTCACTATCTCCATCTCTCATAGATCTAGCTTAGCTCAGAATTTCAGTCGCTCTTCACGATAGAAACCAGATTGGGCGGTTAATTTTAGGGTTGTGTTATGTGAATCTGGTTCAAGATGAAGCTGTGGTGACAATAGGTCCAGAGCCTTTATCACAGCAGAATGGTGATGCATTGGATACCCGAGGATGCATATTCTTGTTATTCGTTTCAATTGTCAACTGTTCAGAATGCCTAGCAATGGTTATGCTATTATCGCTGATTCTTGTTAAACATTTACACACAAAAATGATATATAAAGGCCTTACACATAATTCATCAAGCTGTATATCATTATCTGTTGGATACTCACTGGGGACCACAATGGTGAGTCATTATGATACAATCGTCAGATTTCGACGCTTCGTCGAAGTCCTTGAAAGTACAACAGACAGGTTTGTGAAATATTGATATTGCTAATGACAAATTTAGAGCAACTGGTTGCGTAGCTCACCATGTTTAAAAATTAAATAGAATTTGAGGGGGAAAATCAACTAAGTCGTTAATCATCATATTGAATAACGCCCAACCCACCGTGTCCAATGGTAGACTAAAAATATGGTTACCATGGAAACCGACTGAAAATCGAATGGTGGTTAAAAGATTAAAAAGTGACAGAGTTTATTAGTGAAACCGTCCATGAATCATCACGCTTTGACGGCGCTCTTCATTGGTAAAATGTAACAGTAAGTCAAAGTATATTTAATTATATTTTAAGCCGTATACCACAATTGCTACACTATTTTATGCAAAGAAATTCAGTTCATGTACCCGGAATCTGAACAACGTAAAATTTTGTAATTATATCGGTAATACAGACCAAACATCAACCGCTTGCCTGTCTTTAATTGCCTGCCCACCTATCCTACCCTTCCATCACAGGGGGCACGGGTGGCCCAGTCGTATGAGGCGCCGCGATTCGCTGTGCAGAGTTGCGTCCCCTGGACACGCCAGAAACCTATGATTGTGGGTTCGAATCCCGGTTATGTTTCTAGGTTTGTCAGCACCATACCCGTGCTCGTGGGTTTCACCAAAGTGGTAAACATCTGAGACCTGCATCACTTCGGGCTTACCTCCCACATCAAGCTGACACGCCGTGATATAACTGGAATAATGTTTAAAGCGGCGTTAAACCCAACTCACTCACTCACTCACTCACTCACTTCCATCACAGAGCGCGGCGAGTGGACTTGTGACTGAAGCGTTCGCCCACCGTGCCTAAGACACGGGTTCATTTCCCATCGTGGGAACAATGTGTGAATCCCCTTCTTGATGTCCAGCGTGATATGCCTGCGTTGATGATAAAGGTGTTAAACTTAACTCACTCACTCCTCTTAAATGACATTAAAAAGCTATTTCAAATCAACCAATCTGAGGCCTAATGAGTGTGGGTGTGCCTATATCGCATACCAATTTTTTAGAACATTCCCGACTTGTCATGCACACTATCAGTTTTTCGTTGAGATAGTCCTGCCTCAGTTGTCTCCCTTTCACAACAAACCGCATTGTGAAAGTATATTTTACGATTGCTTTCGAAACTTGATAAGCCAATATCAAGATCAGTGTTCTCATAACTAATGGGTCGGTGAGTAGCTTTGAACTTTACTACCAGATCCACCACGTCAGTTTTATGTGGGAGGAAAGTCCGAATTCAAAGTGATGCAGGTCGTTCTCCACTATTACAAAACCAACGAGTATGGCCATGAATGATAATCCCGTAAAAGGATACTGAGCATGTCTCTGACATCAAAACATCACAATCACACATTGTACATAAGGCTATTAACTCCCCTTGACGAAGATTTAGAGTAATTTTATACACAGGGATGGTATTAACTCCTTGCAAATCGCGAGGAACATAGGAACTAGGAATTAGTGTGTTCTGAAACCCCCCCCCCCCCCCCCCCCCCCTTAAAAAAAGCTTGCAATTCGCGATTAACTGTGAATACATGTGTTAATACATGTGTTACACACTCACCTCCTTGTAAATCGCGAGGAACATCATAAACACGTGTGTCATAAACCCACCTCCTTACAAATTGCGGTGGACATGATAAGCAAGTGTTTTATAAATTCACATCCTTGCAAACAGCGAGGATCAGTATATACCTAAGCTATAAACTCACCTACCTTACATATCGCGATGAACATGAACAAGAGTTTTACCAGCTCACCTCCACGGAGATCGTGAGGAACTCGGAACTCTCCTTGGCGAGTACGGTAGACTGACGAGACGTCCTGTTGATAATCGCAAGTTCCTGTTGTGGGGAGAAACTAAACTTCACGCATTCGTTTTACTGTATTGATATATAATTCTCACAACATACACGTGGGGGATAAAATATCATTCCTAATAATAATAGTATTTGCGATCATGATTATGGGGATATCAGATCTTTATCTCTACGTGATGAAGTGAGGTCGTGTCCGGTGCGCCCTGGGGCATTTTGACCTCTCAGTAAAGGATGTGTCGGCTCTTTAAGTACGATGTCAACTTTTTAAAACGAATCAGCTTCTTTTGGTCAGCACCTCGATTTGGCAATTTCGATCTTAGCAAAGGAAAATCAACACAGAACACAAATCAGGACACACCTATTTGTTTGGCTGCCATGATGCTCAGAACGACAAAGGTGAGGTGAGGTGAAATTGGGTTTAACGTCGCGTCCAAGATTATTGCACTTATGCACGTGTGCACGTGTATGTGTGTGTGTGGCTGCTTGTACTAGTCCGGACTGATGCCGATTTATAGTGCGAGCTCACTGAGATACCATGCCGCAGTTTAACATGAATACCCCACTCAGACACAGTAGCCGACCATTCCTTGTTTTAGCCCCTTAATGCCGAGCGCCAGACAGGGTAACAACAAGTACAATCTTTTAACGTCTTTTTGTATGACGCGGCCCGGGATCGAACCCTGGACCTTCCGCTCTCCGGGCGGACGCTCTACCACAAGACCACGGAGGCGGTCTCAGAACGACAAAGAGTACACAATATCCAAATATAATAGCACAGTCTTTATTTTTTGCATTTAGAATTCCACGATTATGTTCGTTTTTGAGATACAACAATCTGTTATGCTGTTATAATATTTTAATGCTTCGCTTGCTTATAGCCATCGTTAGGAGTCTGTGATTGGCTGATTGCACACTTCACCTGACACGACATCACATGAAGGGTTTGTCAGATCGTCACGTAGATCGGTGTCGGATCGGAATAGCGGGTCTGATTTTATAATCGCCTTGAGAGTAAGGAGAAGAAAAAATATTAGATAAAATTAATCCGAGTGCTCTATTACCACAATAAACAGTCTCAAATATAACACCTCTGCTGAATCAAAATTGATGATGAACTTACCCCAAATGTCTGTCCCTTGTACAAATAGGCCACGGGTCGAGCGTACTTCCGGTCACAATCCATCACCATGACAACCACTGGATATAATAAACACGGCCAGTAAAAAGTGTTACTTAGTACGGTTTTACGGTTAGACAGATATTGGGACATAATCAAACTCTATCATACAAGTCGATGTGCAGAGCTGCGCCCCAAGGCACGTCACGAACCCATGATCGTGGGTTCAAATCCTTGTTTACCCTGATTACGTTTCCAGGTTTGTCAGCACCATACCCGTGATCGTGGGTTTCACCAGAGTGGCAAACGTCTGAGACTTAAATCATTTCGGGCTTTCCTCCCACTTTAAGCTGACTCGCGGTGATATAACTGGAATGCCGTTCAAAGTGGGGGGTCCACTAGTGATCAGCTTTAAATAATCTTCTTGTGACAGGGTTGGAACCCGGCGTGACAGGTGAAATACAAAGATGATGCCAGCGATGACGTTGTCAAGTTGTCGCACGGGGATGGTATATAGGACCAGAAGGTGGACTTGAGAACACATACTTGTTCCTGACAGGATGACGTAGAAAGTGGACTTGGGAGCACTTACCTGTTCCTGACAGAGTGACGTAGAAGGTGGACTTGAGAACACCTACCTGTTCCTGACAGGATGACGTAGAAGGTGGACTTGGGAGCACCTACCTGTTCCTGACCGGATGACGTAGAAGGTGGACTTGAGAACACCTACCTGTTCCTGACAGGATGACGTAGAAGGTGGACTTGGGAGCACATACCTGTTTCTGACAGGATGACGTAGGAGGTGGACTTGAGAACACCTACCTGTTCCTGACAGGATGACGTAGAAGGTGGACTTGAGAACACCTACCTGTTCCTGACAGGATGATGTAGTAGCCACACTTTAGAACATCTACCTATTCCTGGCAAGATGAAGTAGGTGGATGCAAGGCGACCTTGTCAAGTTGACGCACGGGGAGGGTCCTACTTTAGAACACCTACCTGTTCCTGACAGGATGATGTAGTAGCCAGACTTTAGAACACCTACCTGTTCCTGACAGGATGAAGTAGAAGGTGGACTTGAGAACACCTACCTGTTCCTGACAGGATGATGTAGTAGCCACACTTTAGAACACCTACCTATTCCTGGCAAGATGAAGTAGAGGATAGACTTTAGAACACCTACCTGTTCCTAACAGGATGAAGTAGGTGGATGCAAGGCGACCTTGTCAAGTTGACGCACGGGGAGGGTCCTACTTTAGAACACCTACCTGTTCCTGACAGGATGACGTAGTAGCCAGACTTTAGAACACCTACCTGTTCCTGACAGGATGAAGTAGAAGGATGACGCAGGATGACCTTGACGAACCAGCACTCGTCTCGCCTCAAACCTTTCCGGAAGATAGACGAAATTGCTTTGTAACCTCTTTAATTAATCGACCCTATATGTGCATAACGTAACATATTTAGCACAACACGCACACGTTAAGATTCTCATAAAGAAAATGATCAATTCAATTCAGAACAAACGACATTTGTCGTGAAATGGGTTTCAATATAATAGGCTGTATAAAAACTACAGTTGCCCATTATTTCTGAAACGAAGTATGTTTTTACCCATAACACATCAAAACTGTATTAGTTCCCTGTACAAGATGTTTAGCTAAAACGTTTAATGGATGATCACAGTCATCATGTCCCTAAAATATGTTCACAGCATTCAGATCTCATTTTAATATGGCCGCCACGAAAGCCATATTGCAAATGCCATTCCTGCATGTATCATTGTGACATTTTGACATACAGTATCACGGAATAACATACAATAAGTTTGTTTTGGGTTTGTTTGTTTTTTTGTTTTCCTTGGTTGTTTTGTTTGTTTTTTAATATTATTTTTTTCTTTTATTATATTTTTGTTTTGGGTGGGGTGGGGAGGGGAGGGATGGGGGTGAAATCATGCATTTCGGTTGTTGACGCTGCTAGGCCTTGATCTTCAAATGGATCCATGTCCAAGTGATGCTGCTTATTTGGTATCTCCTCTAATACTTCTTGGTTCATAGAGATGAAAGAATAGTCTGTAGTACTGCTAACACTGTCGAATCCGATAAAAATAGCATCAATGGCAGCCATCATAAACATGTCATGTGGTCCATTACCCAGGTATGCATAGTTATGAAATATGCAGCAAATATGTACAGTGTCCATTTCTGACCTGCTGTGTATAATGATGTCTTGGAGCTTCGACCGTTGACCTCAATGTTCCGAATGGTTACTAATAATGCTTTGGCATTGGTTACCATGCATTATGAACTGTCCACTCAGCCAGTAATGCATGCATTAATGGGTCATATACATTTAACGAACATGCTGGGGTGACATCTGTAACCACTTTCTCTTACCATTCCTTATTTATCCTTGCATAACCTTTCTGAATAGTGTATGACTATTATATTCTATTTGCAGCTTTAATGACAGAGTGCGCTGTGACATATGCGTTCTTCTACAAAGTAATATTATACAATAAATGGTGTATGGCCTTCCTCGAAGTTCGATAGGTCTTGGAAATTTCCTTAAGATTGTTCTGGGTACAAGCAGACAATCTACCTGTACGCCCCCAAGCCTCAACTCGGTACTACAAGACTTGATAATGTAAGACAATACATGTACTCCCTTGTAGGATATTCTTGAAGATATCTGACATTTTGCAATAAGATTGTGGTCTGGTCTAGACTATTATATATCACATTATTCCATTGGCTGTAGGTAATCATGTGAGAGAAACTTACAAAAATCAATAAACTCGTATCTTGTGATCTTTATAAATATCTACACATGTGAGTTCAGATCACGTTTCTGCGGACTTTCCTTCAGAAACAAACGAGGCAAGTTGGCTATATGTCTGATTTGGTTTCACACTGTAGGTGTACGTATGGCAAGTAAATAAATACGCGAGAACATGCACAGTAACGCCCGAGTAGTGGCAAAATCAGTTCGTTATATCTGAAGTTCTCTTGGAGAAGTAAAATTATGTTCGTTTTGGCCTATGTTTCGTCATATCCGACTTCGATATAAGCAGAACATGAGCTTAGTGTTGAAGTTGAAATGGGCGTCACACATTGAATCGAACAAGGGTATTCGGCGTGACTGATGAATGCTCAAACAGTCGGCTACACCTTAAACCCGGGTCTTCAGTCGGGAGTGTTGACGTTGACGATGTTGTATTAAAGTGAGTGAGTGAGTATTGTTTTACGCCGCTTTTAGCAATATTCTAGCAATATCACGGCGGGGGACACCAGAAATGGGCTTCACACATTGTACCCATGTCGGGAATCGAACCCGGGTCTTCGGCGTGCCGAGCGAACGCTTGTACTAGAGTGTTATACCAGCAACGTAAATAGTCTTATCAAGGAGGAACTTGAAATTGCCGATGCGTTTAAAACTGTTAACTTCCAACTGGGTTACACGATAGAAAATAACCACACACGCCTATATTTACACTTTCGCATGCCGTGATATGAATGAAATACTAGTATACGAGGAACGAACGATATTTAAGGGAACCCCTGTCATTTCAGCTATCAGAATGAAATGACCATCTTTGTTGCACGAGACACAGTTACTCAAACTTTGAACCTTGCACATGCCGTCCACGGTGACACATCCGGGTTACTTGCATGTGCCAATACACGTCACAGCCACATGGTCCATTGATCGGGTACAGAGAAGGAAAATGCTGCCAAACGTGCACATAACAGAAAATGAAAAATTCAGTTGCCAGACACTTTGGTAAATCAAAAAGTGTGATGTCCCGAAGGATGGAACGATATCGGCAAACAGGTTGGGTTAAGATTAGGCTGGTTAGAGCAAGGCCTAAAAAAGAGTACTCCCAGGCAGGATCGATAGGTACAGGAACAGATTGTTTAGCACCAGAACTGTGAAAGAGCTTCAGGGCCGCCACATGAAGCCGACTTTCGACGTCATCGATACGAAACGGTTTGAAAAGTGCGGGTCTAAAAGTAAGACGTCCTTCCGGGGGAAAGCGTCTAACTGTGGCAAGCGCCTCAGACAACAGTGGGCACAACAGTTTAGAGGTCGACAACAGCGGCATTGGAGGTACATCATGTTTTCTGGTGCATCGTGGTTCTCTTTACACTTTACAGATGTAGACAATGTGTTTGTAGACGGCGCAGAGAGAGGTTCTATCCGACAGCAGTCCAAGAGTATGACAGGTACGGTAGTGGCAGCGTCATGGTCTCAGGTGACATCAGATACGACAAGAAGACGGATCTGATGATCGTGTATATAAGGGAGTGAGTGAGTTGGGTTTTTAACGCCGTTTTTAACAGTATTCCAGTCATATCACGGCGTGTCAGCTTAATGTGGGAGGAAAGCCCTGGCGTGACCAAGGGACGCAACTCTGCACAGCGAATTGCGGCGCCTTAGACGACTGGGACACCCGTGCCCCCTAAGGGAACATGACCGGTCAACGTTATGTGGACAAAGTGTTACGTCCCGTGGTCATCCCATTTGCCGAGCGCGTGGGTCAGACCTTTGAGTTCCAAAATGACAACGCACGTCCTCAAAGACGTCGTGTCGCAGTCGAGTGTCTGAGGCAGCAAGGTGTCACAACGTTGTCCTGGCCAGCCAAATGTCCAGATACTTCACCGATTGAATACCCTTGGCATGTTCTGGACCGAAGGGCTCGCAACCGAACGTTCCCAGAATCTGCAACAGGAAACCTCACAAGGAGAAGGACGAAGAAAACCAAGGGTTTGATGTCCAGTATGCCCAGAAGATGTCGTGCCTGCATCGGAGCTCAAGGGGGATTGGATTTAATATAAACATTGAATTCCACAACGTCATTTCTTTACATATCATTTCGGAAACAATTGTGGTTCCTTTAAATATTGTTCCAAGCATCTACCACGCTGCGTTCAATCCCGCATCACTCACTCACTCTTACCTTTCGTAATTGCCAACTTCAGCTAGGAGGCGCTGCATCCGGGCTGGGTATTCTTGAAAACACTTGATATCCCGCATTGCTATTTGAGCCTTGTAAAGAGAACAACAAGAGTGATTTATATTCCAACATTTGCCAAGGCTTCTTGAAACCGGTTGCTGCTTTTGTTCCACATATATAGGTTCCTGTTTTGATAATCATTTTACATTAAACAAAATCCCAGCATTATAAACGTTAAATGTTTTCTAAATATTCGATATCGATCTAAATATATCGTAACTAAAGAATGTCCACGGATTCTACACTATCGCGAATAGGTTTTGAGCGGTATCAATATGTATTCCATAACGGAGTGTGATATCGATGTGATAAACCAGTCTGATAAACTTAATAAGCTTGATATCAGGATTCGATAAACGTTTTGTCTGTTTGTTTGTTGTTTAACGCCACATTCAGCAATATTCCAGCTATATGACGGCGGTCTGTAAATAATCGAGTCTGGACTAGACAATCCAGTGATTAATTTCATGAGCATCGATCCACGCAATTGGGATCGATGACATGCTTCAACCAAGTCACCGAGCCTGACCACCCGATCCAGTTAGTCGCCTCTTACGACAAGCATATAGTCGCCTTTAACGGCAAGCATGGGTTGCTTAAGACCTAGTCTACCCGGGAAATTCACGGGCGATGTGGTCACCTCGCAGGATCTACTTTTATACGTCTTGCATGGATGCAAAATCAAGCAGGTTCTTTTATAAGTTAAGATAGGGTTTTCCCCATGTGTGATAGAGGTGGCGGTTCACTAAAACATTGTATTCAAACGCACGTTCTAAAGCTATTTCATTTTCCGAAATAACGACATCGACATCGATTATTAAGAGAATGGTATTATATGATAAAAAGATTATAACCCTAGTGTCATTCCGTATCGTAAATGGCATGCATTAGGAATTGAAGATGTGAATTTGCTCGTTAAAGGCGGTGATACGTGATATATATTATACGATACGCATTCGGCTAAAACTCACTTTCGACGATTGAAAAGCCTTACCGTGTACAGCTCTTGGTCCGTTCTGTCGGAATGAGGTTTACTCAGGATGCGTTTGATGTCGTCTGATATTCTCGTCTGAATAACACATTTTGTTTTGTGTTACTAGGTAACAGCTGTAACTTTATACATAGTAATATATCTTAGGGGACCTAGTCGTCTAAGGCGCCGCGATTTGCTGTGCAGAGTTGCGTCCCTTGGGGACGCCAGAAACCTAGGATTGTGGGTTCGAATCCCGGTTCGCCCCGATTATGTTTCTAGGTTTGACAGCACCATACCCGTGCTCGTGGGTTTCACCGAAGTGGTAAACCTCTAAGACCTGCATCACCTCGGGCTTTCCGCCCACATTAAGCTGACACGCCGCGAAATAAATAGAATACTGTTAAAAGCGGCGTCACTCACTCTAATATATCTTACATCGATTTGATGCACATGCAAACGATGCCACCTAACAAGAGGTACTATTAATGAGCTCCATACAGAGATGTGATGATCTATTTAGATCGACATTATATACTACTACAAATTGGACCACCCGACTCTTTCCCATAACTGCAGTTAATTTGTCAACGGAAGAGTTTAAATACATTTGTATATTTCTTTTATACAGTTTTCAAGGTTATATAGTTGTTGTACTTTTTCAAGGTTGTTATGACAATGTTCACCTGTTTATTTGCCTTGAACCTTGACGGGTCAAACATAAGTTCTACTCCCGCCATTGCAGGGTAGTCCCGGAAGTTGAGAGGCTTGAGAAAGGGAGATAACTCATCGTCGTCGTTGTTCCTTCAAAAAGACACATGTGTAATGACAGTTGTAGAAGTATTTTGGAACAGTGTTCTCACCCTCCCAGCTTCATGTGGGACAGCATTTTACAACGAGTAGCGTGTGCTGACAAATCATAATAGCACAGTATTCTGGTGGGACTAAGGGAGGGAACTCTAGCTGATATTTGCTGAAATGTTGCATACAGCGGCTTCAAGCATGCACGCACGCTCGCACGCACGCATTCATTCATACCCTGAAAACTTTGAGATGTTGTTTTTTTAATGCATAACAAAGAACAAGCTGTGTTTTTGTGTGTGGAACAATCGGTATTATCTGATATCAAATTGATCATGTTACCTTAAACAATGGTCGTGGCACTCTCGTATACAGAAAATGGTCATCTTGGCGACTCGCTGGAACTTCCGGCGCAGCAATCTCTGGCGAAACACAAAGGCAAGATCATGTCTGTTCTTCAACGCCACATCACACATGTTTCTACACGTGTATGACCGCCTCCGTGGTCTAGTGGTAGAGCGTCCGCCCGGGGAGCGGAAGGTCCGGGTTTCGATCCCCAGCCGCGTCATACCAAAATACGTTAAAAGATGGTACTTGTTGTTACCCTGTCTGGCGCTCAGAATTAGGGATTCCAGGGCTAATACATACAAAACACCCACAAGAAACACGCGTCGTTTGTGAATATTTAATGATATGATACATGAATGCCACAATTACATTAAGCATGTTTGAATAAACATGTACTCACTGAAAATATGATGTTCGTGATGTGACATGTAACATGGCTTTTATAACTTCGAAAGGAAAGATCTTTAGCCGTTCAACGGCTCTTCTGGTGTAATGAAAACTTTAACTTACATTGTAGTCCTAGGCGACACACAACAGTAGTATTTGTGGCGGCATAAAGTTTTGACAAGCACGAATATCTGAACTCTGTTTTTTTGTATATTTAATACTTATACACCTGATGAAATCACTTGTTTATATACATACATATATATACCGCTCTCTCTCTCTCTCTCTTCCCCTCTCCCTCTATATATATATGTATATATATATATATATATATATATATATATATATATATATGTATCTTTATCTCTGTCTCTCTCTTTCTTTCTATCTATCTCTCTCTATATATTTCTATGTCTCTCTACCTCTCTCTGTCTCTATCTGTATCTCTCTATCTTTATATCTGTCTCTCTCTTTCTATCTATCTCTCTTTCTCATTCTATCTCTTTCTATCTCTCTTTATATAGAGATACATAGATAGATAAAAACAGATTTCTATCTATCTATGTCTATATATAGTTCTATCTATCGCTCTACCTCTCTCTATCTCTATCTATATCTCTCTGTCTGTCTCTCTCTCTCTCTATATATATATATATATATATATATCTTTATCTCTTTCTACCTATCTCTCTCTTTATCTCTTTCAATCTCTCTCTATTTCCTTATCTGTCTGTCTGTCTGTCTGTCTCTCTCTCTGTGTCTCTCTCTCTCTTTATCCCTTTCTATCTATCTCTGTATCTCTTTCCATTTCACTCCATCTCCTTATCTCTGTCTCTATCTCTCTCTCTCTCTCTCTATAGCTGTAGCAATAAAATAGCTTTGTGGAGCTGCATTACGGTATCATATCTAGGCCATGACACACGACATCTAATTCTCATTGACGGTGCTACAGCTACGGCCTTATCTCGTTGCGACGTGATCTGTGATATTAGCTTAGCCGGTCAATATTAAACTTGTTACACCACAAAATCGAAACTGATATATTATAGTGTTAATCTTAACACTGTTATCAGAGAAAACATTTTGACACTGTGTATGTCGCTCCCCCTGATGTACTGGGTAGTCAGTGCATGACCTTCACATACAGGGGCGGTCTCAAAAGTGGTTTAACGGTTATTGTATTGAGCTAGTGAGTGAGTTCGGTTTAACGCCGCTTTGAACAATAGTTCTGTTATATCGGCAAGTCAACTTGGTTTGGGATGAAAGCCGGGAGCGATGCAGGTCCCAGACGATTACCACTTTGCTGAAACCCACAAACACAGGTGTACGTGGTGCTGGTAAACCGAGTAACAAAAACGGACCGTACCTGGATAAGTTATTGGTACGTCTCAGGGGCGTTACTCTGCACAGAGAATAATTATTCCTAAATATATCTGAGGGTGTGGATAAGCTTTACTCAATGTTTAATGATTGATTTCTGCATGCAGTGATATGTATTCGAATGATAAATATCTGTAAGATGATCTTTGTTGTTTGGTATAATAAAAAGATAATTACCGTATTAAAACTATCAAAACTTAAAATTTCATATTCCTCTTTGTTCATGGAGTTATATGTTTCTTCAAAACTATTGAATAATACATGCCCATTGATAGACATTATGAAAAGGTTTTGCTCTAATTGTAAAAAAATTTGTTTGGCTGCTTTTGTCCCCGAAGATTAATTTACAGTTTTATTGTCATTTATGTATCATCCTAAACTCACCACCCAATACGAAAGATATAGTAGGTGAGGGGAAATGGTGTTTAACGTCGCGTCCAACATTATTGCACGTATATAGCGACGCACATGCACGTGTGTGTGTGTGGCTGCTTGTTCTTGTCTGGACTGATGCTGATTTATAGTGCTAGCTCACTAGCTATGAGCATGCTAGCACACTGAGATACCATGCCGCAGTTTAACATGAATACCCAATTCAGACACAGTATACTGACTCCGAGCCGACCAGTCCTGTCGAGCGCCAGACAGTGTAACAACAAGTACCATATTTTAACGTCTTTTGGTATTCCGCGGCCGGGGATCGAACCCCGGACCTTCCACTCTCCGGGCGGACGCTCTACCACTAGACCACGCAGGGGGCCGAAAGAAATAGTAAAGAATCATTTAGAGTTGCATGTACTCAACTGTGTGTGCCCTACGCTTTGCCATACACGACTTTTATTTGTGTGAAAATTTAAGAAAAGGATAAAAGGATCACTCATGTGCAGTGAATGTAAACTGCCGGGCAAAAATAAGTATACCCTTGAAAACTAAATTTGACCAACAAACTACAAACGTTATCAAAACGTTACTAGGCTGATAACAGTCAGCGCCCAAAACACAACTATGATACCCTTTTCATATACATCATTATCGAAACACCATTTCGTGCTTGTTTATTTTTTTGCCATCATCAAAAGGCGTATACTTTCTTTTGCCCGGCAGTTTACTTTTGCCCGGCAGTGCATGAGTCGTGAGATAAAACACGTTTGATCAAAGGGATACTAAGAATAACAAACGATCAATGTTATCGACTCATAAAACCAATGACTTATTGCCCATAGTCTTTCAAATTGATTTTAGGATTACTGTATACGTAGGATATATAGAGACCTTGTCAGGAATGTGTCAGATATGGAAGGCCATGTCCGACATGTAGCTGTGTGTGTGTGTGTGTGTGTGTGTGTGTGTGTGTGTGTGTGTGTGTGTGTGTGTGTGTGTGTGCGTGCGTGTCTGTCTGTCAGAAATACAGGATTATATTCCTTTTTCAGCAAATGATTATGGCTGTATCTGTCAAGTGACACTAAGCTGACACACAAAGTGCATTATCAATCATACCGTCTTGGTCAAACTGAAATTAATTACCTCGATAGACAGACATGCGGATGGCAGGCAGGCAGGCAGGCAGACAGACAGACAGACAGACAGACAGACAGACAGACCGATCGATCGATCGATAGATAGATAGATAGATAGATAGATAGATAGATAGATACTAACTTCGAGCCGGTCGGTCCTAGATTTATCCCCTTAATGCCTGCCTAGCGGGTAACAGGAAGGGTAACAACAAGTGTCATCTTTTACTATCTTTTGGTAGATGTAATTGGCACACGGAAATAGTTGAATGAGTCAATAGCGGTTTGTAGAGGATTTTAGGAGCTGAACGTTTGGTCTACAAGCCCGTTCATCTCTTAAAATCCCGTACACCAGTACAGTGTAGCTTATAATAACGCGGAGTCACAAATACCACCGATATATGACATTGTGACTCGGACGTTTTCTCATTTGGGTCAAATGTGAGGATTTGGCGGAGAAATTTGTCATGAACAGAAGATTTAGAAGTCTACATATTTCACGGGTAAAGTGGGCATGCAAACTTATTGCCTATTTTGTGTTTTACATTATTATGAATAAACATAAAGTATTCGTAGAAATGATTTGTTGAATTGGAGGATGGGAGATAAATTATTTCATTTTAGCAGAGACCATCTATTATATGGTCTCTGATTTTAGCCATGCAAACCAAAAAAAATCTTTATTATTTTTAATTTGACAAACTACACAACGATTCCTAAGAACCAATAATTCATGTTTGGACCTACTGTTTGTGAGGAGATCATTACTCGAAATATTTCTGCTATAATCTTTTAATTAATTTTGAAGTTCCATGGGACAAGAGGTCGGTCACAATACCGCGAAATTGACGTTCATAAGTGTATACAAGACACAATATTTGACGTCCATGCGTTTTTCACGAGAACCTCGCAAGCTCCGACGTTCATACAGTTAGGTCCTCGCGCTATAAAAGTTCATACTCCAGTCAATTTCACATTAATATTTATCCACTGACGTATAAAACTTTATTAGACATATGAACTTTCATGACATTTGAGAACCAAACACTCTTTATGAAAAAGGGCAGGGGTTATTTGAAGAAAGAAATATACACGCAATTTTGTCACCAATTTCATTAAAATCAGATCTTAGCTCTCGCTACCGCTAAACCAAGCTTTGTTTAGCGGTAGCGAGAACTAAGAACTGGTTTTAATGAGATTTTTCTGTCACGGGTTTCTTAGTTTTTGTTGTTGGTTTTGACTACAATGGTGGGTTCGATGCACAACTTGAAAAAAACGTTAAACACAACTTCCTGATATATTTCTATATAAAATAGACATTTATTTTATAATCGTTCCCTGTATTAATTTACTGACGACATGAATTAATTTTTCTTTACAAAGTAACATATATGTATTCAATTGACATACATGACCCGAAACTAATTTATCTGTTGACCTGATTTCTAACTATTCCATGGCAGTGGTACATCATCATCATCATCATCATCATCATCATCATCATCATCATCATATTTTGTTCCAGCATAGACGTAAGTCATCGGCCCATGGTACAGCAAATTACATCTTACCATGGCAAGGGAGTTAACTGACTATGAAAGTCCAGTTTCCACCCTTGCCGAACTAGGTTGGTATTATGAAGTTACATTTTGAACTAACGAGTCTGTGCATAGTCCAATCAAAATCGCGCAACGAAATCCGGTTCGTAAACTGTCGTCCAGATTTCTGTCGATTGCAGGATTTGCAAGTATGTGCACCGCTACCTCGCTGTCAACAGTTATTTTCCAAACCTTTCATGTTTTTAATCAAGGTGCTCGCGTGAGTTGATGCACTTCGCGATGTAAGACCCGTTTTATCACATTATAGATCTTGATTATTGATCAGATCGTCTTGACTGTCTTGACTTTTGTTTGAAACAAATGCAAGTGATGGAATTTGATAGGTCCATAGGAGTGGCTTAGAAGGGACATAACTCGTAATAACCACTGGTGGCGCTACGATCGAGCCCAAAAATTCCAGCCTAGTTTGGCAAGGGTGGAAACTGGACTTTTAAAGTCAGTTAACTCTCTTGCCTCGGGAAGATGGCAAATTACAGCAGCAACAATAGTCGTGCATATACATGTATAGTGTTATGACATTATGTTTGTGCAAAGTTGCACACCCTCATAAAACATATACTACTGAACATAGTTCAAGAACGCCCGAATATTTCCTATTACCATAGTTGATCTGTCATCACATGACATATTGGCTGTAGTTATGTGAAAGAATCGGGTGTTCTTTAACTTCTTCGGAGTAGTATACATTGCCATATTTCTTATTGCGACCATCTGGAGAAACCTGTGTTAATGTACTACCATCGGTATCTGAGACATTGGTCATAATGAGATCAGTGTCATATTCATATTTTGCCCAAAGACACATGGAATATACTGGATATATGAAAAAAGGGAGAATGAAAACTTTACACATGCGACAACAGCAATAAGAACAAAACTGATACTTCAAACAGTAAATATAAGGTGAGGTGAGGTGAAATGGGGTTAAACGTCGCGTCCAAGATTGATGCACTTATATAGCGACGTGCATGCACGTATGTGTGTGTGTGTGTGTGTGTGTGTGTGTGTGTGTGTGGTTGCTTGTACTAGTCCGGACTGATGCCGATTAATAGTGCTAGCTCACTGAGATACCATGCCGCAGTTTAACATGCATACCCCACTCAGACACAGTATACTGACTCCGAGGCGACCAGTCCTTGTTTTAGCCCCTTAATGCCGAACGCGCCAGACAGGGTAACAACAAGTACCATCTTTAAACGTCTTTTGGTATGACTCGGTCGGGGATCGAACCCCGGACCTTCCGCTCTCCGGGCGGACGCTCTGCCACTAGACCACGGAGGCGGTCAGTAAATATAAAACGTCAATAACAGATAATAACCACTCTCGATTATCCGCCGAAACAGTTTGGGTGAAAAAGGTTTTAAAAGCGGTGAAAATATATGAATGGATCCCTGAAAATCAGTGATGATTCCAGGTGTTCGCGAAAAAGGTAGCATGTCCACACGCCAACAGGAGAGATATTTCATCACAATTTCAACACAAAGTGTGTTGGTGATTTTCGTACTTTGTTGACCGGAGAAACCTAGCTTAACAAACATGAAAAGAGTGTCTCTTTCAAAGCCGGTGAGGCAGATTTGTAGATATGAATAGTGTCTTTCAAGCAGAAATAATCAATGTCATCAGTAAGACCATACAACAAAACATTTTATAACACAGACCCCCACCCCACAATCTCAATAATGTTCGCACTTAACACTCACCATGCTGATGGCGGTTTTGTTCGCCGACGTGGTTTTTCTGATCGCATTCCCAATTAGAAACCATATTACGGTGAACAATTACGCTCCTCCCGTTTTTATATCAACGCCCCCGTGGAACTCCACGAACCCAGAACTAATGCCAACAAAGGCACCACTTGAAGTCGGTCATTAAGCCTATATTTTCTTGGTTGTTATGAATATGGCTTTACCTAAATATTTTCTTTTTAATCTACAGTGGTATTTTACCAAGTTAATTTGTTTAACTTAGAGATTAGAGATTATGAAGGATTAGTTGTACATCTAAGAACATTGTGACTGTTGTTGCCTTTTGAGCTCTAAGGAAACTGTGAGCGCACTTTAGTCATGCACGACAGGCTACGAATTTCTATTTTGGCTGTAAGGTATGGCTTTGGTGGAATTAATTCATGGCGAGGATGTGTCGATATGGGCAACATTTTATGTCAGTCGTAGGGGATTTACACGTGTTGGCACCGACCAAACCTCCGTTCAATGTCTCAAATTCTAAAAAGAACTGTTCAGCTAAGGTTCTTGACAATTTGGTTTGAATTTCCGATCGAAGATTGTCCGACATTTGTGTGCAGATACAATCTCATTAAAATCAGACCTTAGTTCTCGCTACCGCTAAACAAAGATCTGAAGACATCCCATTAGGGGTCACGTTAGAACGACCTTTCATCCGACCAATCAGTGCATCGCTTACCAGATTATGAAAGTGACAGTCGGAATGTGATTTCTAATCATGCAATCTCGAAAACTTTAACATGGGGTATTCCGAACGATAGTTACGGGTTTAACAACTGAATACTTACAATCTAGACCATCTATTAGCCATTCCAGAATACTTGTTTTTGTTCAGGTTTCAAATTTGTAATCGAGAATTTATCAAAATATGTTTCGAAGCGTGGTCGCCAATTTGAAATTAGAGCCGTAAAGCACGAGAAAGCTGCCTTCTGATTGGTCATTCCATTGGTCGGTCAAAGTACGCGCAAGGTCGGCCTGACGTGACCCGTAATGGGATGTCCTCAGATCTTTGTTTAGCGGAAGCGAGAACTAACATCTGATTTTAATGACTGACTGACTGAGTATGGTTTTACGCCGCTTTTAGCAATATTCCAGCAATATCACGGCGGGGGACACCAGAAATGGGCTTCACACATTGTACCCATGTCGGGAATCGAACCCAGGTCTTCGGCGTGACGAGCGAACGCTTTAACCACTAGGCTACCCGACCGCCCTGATTTTAATGAGATTGGTACAGATGACATGTATGCATTACAAACGTCAATATAATAATAGCACAGTGACAACTGTTCAATATCTATTCATCTATCTATATTCCCATTACGTGCCTATCATTCATACAAAAAGGAGCGTTTGGGAAGCGTAGTGGTTAAAGCGTTCGCTCGTTACGACGAAGACCCGGGTTCGATTCCCCACATATGGGCGTATATAGTATATATAGTTGATATGAGAACCGTCTAACACAACAGGAGTATGGTCCGATTAGACGTCTTAATGCCAATTTTTTCAGAGTTCACTTTACTTTTTCAGTTCAATATTTATCCTATTTCAACACCTGATGAAACGTTTCCGTACAACAACATCGTAAAACAAGGGGTAACTTATATTAAAAGTCCTTACATATTTTATTTCTTACATGGGACTAGCACTAGTATTTGGCCCTTTACGTGCTATGGAATCTGTTCGGCAAATTTTCGAGACGGATTGTTAAATTCTAGAACTTGGGATCAATTGGAACCAAATATTATAATTAATACTGAAAAGTCGCATTTTATCATTTTTGAGTGAGTGAGTGAGTTGGGTTAAACGCCGCTTTTAACAGTATTCCAGTTATATCGCGGCGTGTCAGCTTAATGTAGGAGGAAAGCCCGAAGTGATGCAGGTCTCAGACGTTTACCACTTCGGCGAAACCCACGAGCACGGGTATGGTGCTGACAAACCTAGAAACATAATCGCGGCGGACCGGGATTCGAACCCACAATCATAGGTTTCTGGCGTGCCCAAGAGACGCAACTCTGCACAGCGAATCGCGGCGCCTTAGACGACTGGGCCACCCGTGCCCCCTTATCATTTTTGAAGTGATTCAATAATTATTACAAAGTTTAGTTCAAACATATATAAAGGTGACTTCCTGTGTGTCCCTGTATGGATTTCGGGTAAGAATTGGGGCGGTCGGGTAGCCTAGTGGTTAAAGCGTTCGCTCGTCACGCCAAAGACCCGGGTTCGATTCCCGACATGGGTACAATGTGTGAAGCCCATTTCTGGTGTCCCCCGCCGTGATATTGCTGGAATATTGCTAAAAGCGGCGTAAAACCATACTCACTCACTCACTCAATCGGGTAAGAATTTGTCCCGAGCTGGACGAAAGAAGCGACTTAATGGTCAGTTTCGGTGATTTGCTAAGTGCAGCGTTAAATAACACACACACATACTCACGCACGCACGCGCACACACACACAACTTGTGTATATCAAAGACACTTCGTTATACACCAACCTTGCTATTTGTTTTCTTCATCTGTGTCAGTCTTGCACGTCTTTTCTCCAGCACGCGCTGATGTGTCGTCTGCGTGTAGATGACGTCAGCAAAAGAAAGGCGGCGTCGAGGCTCCGTCGTTTTGTTTGACGTTGTCTCTCCATGAAGATATAGTCTCTCCATCACCTTTCTGAGTGCTCCAGAGTTGTCCGCCTCTTCATTTGAAAGGGCTGATACATGTGTACTGCGCCTGCGCAGCAAATGACTAACGATAGACCGGAAGTTAGTCCCCTCATCGCTTTTTTTCTTCCCCATGGGTAAACGCACCTCCGGGTCTGAATAAGCATGTCGTCTGACGGTATGTTGATCTCGTTTAGCAATGTCGTCTGCTCTGCACGTGCCCAGCACAGAATCGACCGATGGCATCCTGGCACGGTGCACAAAGTCTGGAGTGGAACTGGCCATCTGATTCAAATAACGGTACAGGTGGACAATTCCCAGGGTTAGCTGTTTACTGAGAAAGCAATTACGCTCCTAAACTTCCGTAGTGTTTGCAGTCTGTGGTTCATAAGTTTTATCATTCTGGCCTGAAAACGTGTTGTCGTTTTGGAAGCCAAATACGTATGTTTACATTTCCTTAGATGATTTAGTGTTTCGTTAATAAAGTTCCATGTATTTCTATGTACTTATGTGTAATACACACGTCAGCCTATTCTGATAGCTCCTGTAAAAGATGTTGTCTACCGTATGTCACTAGCAGTTTTTTTCAGTCGATGTTGTAAATCAGTCGGCAACGTCAAGAACGCTGACGAGGACGTTGTTACGGCGGCCGTTACCAGTAATCACGCCCGCTTCGGTTTGGTTTGTCATGGTAAATAAATATTTAAATCGCAAATCAATATTGGCGCTTTGATTATCCTTGAAACTTTCATTACACTCCAGCGTAGGCTATCGGTGTTCTTTCTCAATTCAATCTTTTTAGCAATACCTGGAATTTTAATTGCCAATAATGATCCTCAATCGAGACAAATATCGAGTCAGTGATATGGGTGTGTGTTGTTTAAATTCAAATAATAAATAACAGCGTTTTCAAAGGAATTAAAACGCAGACTTTCAAGACGTGTAAACAAGTAATATTTAATGCTATTTAATTTAGTAATGTTTAGGTTCTCCGTTTGACAAGATTTACGACAAACAATTCCTAGCTGATAAATGTGTTTCAAGAGACATGCAGCGAAAATAATCTCGGGGTTGACATAATAAAAATCATTTGTTATCAACAAACCTTTTAACGTAAATAACGACCAAGCTTGCTCTGTTTAAGTCCTGTTCTGTTCTCCATGTCAGCTCGCCCCTTGTCCTGCCAGTGTGTTTCTTCTCAACCCTTGTATGAGAGGATCCCGCCCTATAGATACAGTTTATCTACCTACACAGTCTGGCTAGTGTGCGAGCAAGGAGGCGCTACACACCTGTATATACCTGTAATCAGTCCTACAGGTAAATCCCGCAGCTTTAGGCATTAATGTCACCCGGGTACCGCTCTCAGCCGAACACCAGTATAGTCAGGTCAATGTTAAGGGCATTGTCAGCGGCGGTTTTGACCATGAAGTTTTTAATCTAGTGGTTATTCATATATCATTTGAGGACAAATAGTTCGTGAGAAAGTTGAAATGTTTATCTATGCCGCATCGATTTACATATATTTGTTTAGTGTCCAAAATATTTGACCGATGAATGAGAATTGAAACGTTTTAAAACTAACGTCGATTCTTTATAAAGTTATCAGGTATCAAATAATTAGTACCTCCTGAAAATCTGAAAAAATACATAACGTTATATTCCATAATATATATTATTCAACATGATTTGGAAATTACTCGATTCCGATTAGTCAATCAGAGGTATCAAATCACAATAAATACCTCTGATTGTGATAGCCGATTTGACGGCCACGGGCCTTGCGAGCCATACTTCACTATTTAGGGGTTCCCACTTGGCTTACGTAGGTGCTGAGCTTTCAGCTTTCAATGTTTTTATGGCAAGTACAGAACACTGATTTACTGAAACCGTTTCAACAAATACACAACATACTTTGTTTAATGGATATCGCTTTTTCCGTGATTCAGATGGCCAACACACTGAAAACATTAGACTGGACCCATTACGCTTCCGTAAATATCAAAGCTCACACCAAATAGTTCGCGTTTAATTTTATCATGGAATAAGGGGCGGTCGGGTAGCCTAGTGGTTAAAGCGTTCGCTCGTCACGCCTAAGACCCGGGTTCGATTCCCTACAAGGGTACAATCTGTGAAGCCTATTTCTGGTGTCCCCCGCCGTGATATTGCTGGAATATTGCTAAAAGCGGCGTCAAACCATACTCACTCACTCACTATCATGGAATAAAGGAGATAAAATTGTGTTTTCGATGTCGAGCTAGGTTATCCACGGTTTGTTTCTAAAGCACCACAGTGTGGACACGGCTCGAACAGAGACGACTTAATGGATCGGGTGATCAGGCTCCGTGGCTTGTATGACATCATGCCCCGACGGTGTTGAACGGTGTTCATTATATCAACCTTCTGTTTTCTCTTTTTGTCACAGACCGCCTTGATATAACCGGAATATCACTGACTGCGGCGCCAAACAACAAACAGACAAGTGTTTTATTGAACATGAAATATTGTTACCATACACAACATGTTGGCTTTCTGCCGGGGAGCAGTTTACAATGCCGGGCAAAAGAAAGTAGGGCGGATAAAGATGAAACAAATATGAAATGGTTAGTCGGTGATGATGTATTTGATACGGGTATCATTGTTGTGTTTTGGACCTCACGTTTGAAGTTTTTTGTTTTGACGTTTTGATCCTAGAAAACTTGTAACTTTTTTATCAATCCAATTTTCAAGTATAAACTTACTTTTGCCCAATCGGTTTATGTGCAATTTATAGCTGCAGGACAAATATCCGGGTGTTCATAAGTACTATATGGGGGACAAATATCCGGGTGTTCATAAGTACTATATGGGGGACAAATATCCGGGTGTTCATAAGTACTATATGGGGGACAAATATCCGGGTGTTCATAAGTACTATATGGGGGACAAATATCCGGGTGTTCATAAGTACTATATGGGGGACAAATATCCGGGTGTTCATAAGTACTATATGGGGGACAAATATCCGGGTGTTCATAAGTACTATATGGGGGACAAATATCCGGGTGTTCATAAGTACTATATGGGGGACAAATATCCGGGTGTTCATAAGTACTATATGGGGGACAAATATCCGGGTGTTCATAAGTACTATATGGGGGACAAATATCCGGGTGTTCATAAGTACTATATGGGGGACAAATATCCGGGTGTTCATAAGTACTATATGGGGGACAAATATCCGGGTGTTCATAAGTACTATATGGGGGACAAATATCCGGGTGTTCATAAGTACTATATGGGGGACAAATATCCGGGTGTTCATAAGTACTATATGGGGGACAAATATCCGGGTGTTCATAAGTACTATATGGGGGACAAATATCCGGGTGTTCATAAGTACTATATGGGGGACAAATATCCGGGTGTTCATAAGTACTATATGGGGGACAAATATCCGGGTGTTCATAAGTACTATATGGGGGACAAATATCCGGGTGTTCATAAGTACTATATGGGGGACAAATATCCGGGTGTTCATAAGTACTATATGGGGGACAAATATCCGGGTGTTCATAAGTACTATATGGGGGACAAATATCCGGGTGTTCAGAAGTACTATATGGGGGACAAATATCCGGGTGTTCATAAGTACTATATGGGGGACAAATATCCGGGTGTTCATAAGTACTATATGGGGGACAAATATCCGGGTGTTCATAAGTACTATATGGGGGACAAATATCCGGGTGTTCATAAGTACTATATGGGGGACAAATATCCGGGTGTTCAGAAGTACTATATGGGGGACAAATATCCGGGTGTTCATAAGTACTATATGGGGGACAAATATCCGGGTGTTCATAAGTACTATATGGGGGACAAATATCCGGGTGTTCATAAGTACTATATGGGGGACAAATATCCGGGTGTTCATAAGTACTATATGGGGGACAAATATCCGGGTGTTCAGAAGTACTATATGGGGGACAAATATCCGGGTGTTCATAAGTACTATATGGGGGACAAATATCTGGGTGTTCATAAGTACTATATGGGGGACAAATATCTGGGTGTTCAGAAGTACTATATGGGGGACAAATATCCGGGTGTTCAGAAGTACTATATGGGGGACAAATATCCGGGTGTTCATAAGTACTATATGGGGGACAAATATCCGGGTGTTCATAAGTACTATATGGGGGACAAATATCCGGGTGTTCAGAAGTACTATATGGGGGACAAATATCCGGGTGTTCATAAGTACTATATGGGGGACAAATATCTGGGTGTTCATAAGTACTATATGGGGGACAAATATCTGGGTGTTCAGAAGTACTATATGGGGGACAAATATCCGGGTGTTCATAAGTACTATATGGGGGACAAATATCCGGGTGTTCATAAGTACTATATGGGGGACAAATATCCGGGTGTTCATAAGTACTATATGGGGGACAAATATCCGGGTGTTCATAAGTACTATATGGGGGACAAATATCTGGGTGTTCAGAAGTACTATATGGGGGACAAATATCCGGGTGTTCAGAAGTACTATATGGGGGACAAATATCCGGGTGTTCAGAAGTACTATATGGGGGACAAATATCCGGGTGTTCATAAGTACTATATGGGGGACAAATATCCGGGTGTTCATAAGTACTATATGGGGGACAAATATCTGGGTGTTCATAAGTACTATATGGGGGACAAATATCTGGGTGTTCAGAAGTACTATATGGGGGACAAATATCCGGGTGTTCATAAGTACTATATGGGGGACAAATATCCGGGTGTTCATAAGTACTATATGGGGGACAAATATCCGGGTGTTCATAAGTACTATATGGGGGACAAATATCTGGGTGTTCATAAGTACTATATGGGGGACAAATATCCGGGTGTTCATAAGTACTATATGGGGGACAAATATCCGGGTGTTCATAAGTACTATATGGGGGACAAATATCCGGGTGTTCAGAAGTACTATATGGGGGACAAATATCCGGGTGTTCATAAGTACTATATGGGGGACAAATATCCGGGTGTTCATAAGTACTATATGGGGGACAAATATCTGGGTGTTCAGAAGTACAATATGGGGGACAAATATCCGGGTGTTCATAAGTACTATATGGGGGACAAATATCCGGGTGTTCATAAGTACTATATGGGGGACAAATATCCGGGTGTTCATAAGTACTATATGGGGGACAAATATCCGGGTGTTCATAAGTACTATATGGGGGACAAATATCTGGGTGTTCAGAAGTACTATATGGGGGACAAATATCCGGGTGTTCAGAAGTACTATATGGGGGACAAATATCCGGGTGTTCAGAAGTACTATATGGGGGACAAATATCCGGGTGTTCATAAGTACTATATGGGGGACAAATATCCGGGTGTTCATAAGTACTATATGGGGGACAAATATCCGGGTGTTCATAAGTACTATATGGGGGACAAATATCCGGGTGTTCATAAGTACTATATGGGGGACAAATATCCGGGTGTTCAGAAGTACTATATGGGGGACAAATATCCGGGTGTTCATAAGTACTATATGGGGGACAAATATCCGGGTGTTCATAAGTACTATATGGGGGACAAATATCCGGGTGTTCATAAGTACTATATGGGGGACAAATATCTGGGTGTTCAGAAGTACTATATGGGGGACAAATATCCGGGTGTTCATAAGTACTATATGGGGGACAAATATCCGGGTGTTCATAAGTACTATATGGGGGACAAATATCTGGGTGTTCAGAAGTACTATATGGGGGACAAATATCCGGGTGTTCATAAGTACTATATGGGGGACAAATATCCGGGTGTTCATAAGTACTATATGGGGGACAAATATCCGGGTGTTCATAAGTACTATATGGGGGACAAATATCTGGGTGTTCAGAAGTACTATATGGGGGACAAATATCCGGGTGTTCATAAGTACTATATGGGGGACAAATATCCGGGTGTTCATAAGTACTATATGGGGGACAAATATCCGGGTGTTCAGAAGTACTATATGGGGGACAAATATCCGGGTGTTCAGAAGTACTATATGGGGGACAAATATCCGGGTGTTCAGAAGTACTATATGGGGGACAAATATTCGGGTGTTCAGAAGTACTATATGGGGGACAAATATCCGGGTGTTCAGAAGTACTATATGGGGGACAAATATCCGGGTGTTCATAAGTACTATATGGGGGACAAATATCCGGGTGTTCAGAAGTACTATATGGGGGACAAATATCCGGGTGTTC